CCCCAGGGCGAGAGATGGCCCCACCGGGCCTTGACACATGTGATGGCAGCTCCGTGGCAGGTGCCTGGGGATCCTCAGCACCCACCGGCCCACCCGCAGGGCTCAGGTTGATGAGAGGTCATCAGGGTCTCTCCCAGTTGTGGCTTTGAGCAAATTAGGAAGTGAGTGTTTCTGAACGTGTGTCCCCATCTGTGAAATGGACGCACTGGTGCGTGCTCAGAGGGTCTGTGAGGATCAGACAAGAGAATGCCTTGCACGACAGAGTCAAATCTGATTCTCTTTTCTTCCCTCTTGCTCCTCACTGCATCTCAGCTCATTGGTCATCCTTTCCTTGAGCCCGCTGGGTGTGGGCTAAGTGGGTCAGAGGGCCTCTGCCGGGAACAGAAGCCCTGCGGGGAGGGGGAGGGTGACCTTCTTGCCTTGGGGGGGCCTCGTGTCTCTCTTCTCGTCCTCATGCTTGTCCCCATATTCAAGCTTATGGAGAGGACAGTGGGTGAGCCGGTGAGCAGGCGGCGGGAGGCCTTGGGCAGGGGTGGGCAGGTCCCTCGCTCATCCCGGCAGCTGCTCTGCGTTTGAGCAGGTGCAGCCGCTGGACGGACAGACGGCTCTCTCTGCCTGGTGGAGCTGTGTTCTAGCGGGGACGCAGCCTGTTTGACAGTAAGTCAGCGTGTGAGACGAGCTCTGGAAAGCAGAGCAGGTGGCAAGAGGGACAGACGTGTCTGCTGCTGAGACTTTGGCTGCAGTTTTGAGTCAGGTTTGGGGGGAGCAGTGAGCCCCCCGGATGACGATGGCAACAGCAGTCACAGCCTCCACTCTCCGCGGTGGTAAATTCACAGCAGCGGTGGGGTTCCTGTTTTCTAGCTGAGGACAGACTCCGGGAGATGGAAAGGACTTTCTGGAGGTCACCCAGCTGATAAGTGGTAGAACTGGAATTCAAACCCAGGCCTGTGTGACCCCAGAAGGTGGTCCCACCCCAGCCTTGCCCTCTGCCCGTGACCACGCGGATCCACTCTGTCACCTGGCAAAGGTCCAGGGAGCCAGCAGATGCTGTTACCACCGCAGACCTGGTCTCCGGGAGTGGGCGGGCAGTGCCGCCTGTGTTCCCGGCGAGGGAGCGGGGCCGGATGGGCCTGTGTTCCCGGACGGGGCTGCGCTCACATGGTGCAGAGCGTCCTCGGAGGACAGGGATGAATCACGGCTGCAGAGAGGGCCCGCTTAGTCAGCACCCCGTGCTGGCATCTGGGCACCAGGGAGACGTCCGGCCGTCCCCACCCCCGCCCCTGCCCTGCCCTCCCGCTCAGGACTGCCAAGTGCGGTGGTGCAGGTTGTGCCCTGTGCAAGGACGCCCGGCACGCTCCGCCTGCAAGTTGTGTGTCTGTCAGAGCGTTCTGCAGCCGCACCCCTCCTAATGTGCGCTGGGGCACTGGAGCGGGAGGTCGGGAGCCCTGGAAGTTCACACCTGGGCGGTGCCCGGCTGAGGTCACCTTGCTGGGGGCCAGCTCCTGCCCAGGGACAGGGCCTCTGCCTCCTGGGGTCAGGCCTGTGAAGTGCTGGCCCCCGTAAAGCCGCTCTGCTCCCCTGACCGCATTCCCCGGGCACCTGGGGCCGGCAGAGCTGCCGTGCAGGCAGGGGTCTTAGGCTGCCGTGGGGCTGTGAACTAGCTTTGTGCCGCCATGTGCTGGGTGCTGCAGACATCTCACTTCCCCTCTCCTGGCCTCACTTTCCTCATCTGTATTATGGAGCAGCTGATCACAAGAGGTCATTGGGCACTGATACCCTGGCTTTATGGAGGCCAGTAATAGTGATGGTGATGACGGCCAACGTTTCTTGAGGCCTGCTGTGGGCCAGGCTCTCTGTGTTAGGGGTGTGTGTGTGTGTGTGCTTTTAGAGATCTCCTGACCTAAATACCTACCTCCTGCTTTCCATGCGGGGAGACTGAGGCTTAGAGAGGGCATGTGACAGAGCCACAGCCTGGCAGAGCTGGGATGGGATGCACGGCCCATTGACCTGCCCTGGACGGCTGAGCGCTTCCCCTGCCCGATGAGGGGTGGCTTGGTGGGCGGGGGGAGGAGGCAGGGGTGGGTGTCGGTGCTGCGGCAGCCCTCAGCTGAGACTGGTGTGTCTCCGTGGTTTGTGCATGTGAGAGACGGGGAATGCACGAACACACGTGTACACAGACACACACAGCCCGGCCCCAGGGCTCAGCGTTTGTTCGGTGTCACTGGGTAGGTTGGGGGGGTGGTGTGTGTGAGATTTTCATTTCATGGTACCTTGGTGGGTGGCTTTCCCAGCAGACCTGAGCCCCAGGCGTGACGAGACCTGCTATTCTTCCTGGAGGTGTGATCTGGAGCACCCCAGAGCCCCTCTCTGGGCCTCAGTTTCCTCCTTGGTAAATGGGATCATGATACATACCTTTTGGGACTTGAAGGTGCCATGTGGTCCTGGGGGTGTTGTGAGTAAACAGCAGAGGAAAGCATGATCTGCTGGGAGGAGACTCTCTCAGCCATGGGGAGTGTGGGCTCCAGAGCCCCCCTGGCCGCTGTCCAGCAGCATGATCTTGGCTCAGTCATTTCACTTCTGGGAGTCTCAGAGCCCTCATCTGAAACCTCACAGGTTGTCCTGAGGATTCAATGAGATGACGTCTTCTGGAGCTTTTAGCCCAGAGCGGGCCTGTAGTAGGTGCTCAGTGGAACCAAACACTACGTAACACTTATCGGCACTTGCGCAATGCCAGGCGTTGCTAGTATCACTCACGCTGCTGGTGTCGTTTAGCTGCCAAGTCGCACCCAGCTCTTCTGCGACCCCACGGACTGTAGCCCCCCAGGCTCTTTTGTCCATGGGATCCTCCAGGCGAGAATAACGGAGTGGGTAGCCATTTCCTTCTCCAGGGGCTCTTTCCAACCTAGGGGTCGAGCCCACGTCTCCTGCATTGGCAGGCGGGTTCTTTACCACTGAGCCACCATGGAAGCCCTGTATTGCTATTTCTCTTTCACGAATAATTCATTGGATAAGCAAACTTCTGTGTGCTGCTCGCTAAGCAATTAGCCAGCCCATCAGACCCACTGCCCCGTATTCCCAGCTTGAACGTAGAGGCCTGGAGGGGTCTGGGGTCACGCAAGTGGCTTCCCAGTGCCTTGGGGGATTTTGCTCAGCCGAGTCTGCCAAGAGCCCCTGTTCCATCACAGCCTCCCGAGGGACGCCCCTCCCCTGGCCCTTCCCCCTGTCCGTTCCTCTCCTCTGAGCTGCTTCAGGCCTCATGAACGGCTTGGTTAAGCACTCATCTCTTGGTTAAATGTTCATCTCTTACAATTTCAATCCAATTCCTATAAGCTTATTGGCAAGACGGGGTGTATTAGAGCTGCCAAATTTAATATATCAAGTCCGTGTGTCTGGGATGCGGTTTCTCAGCAGTAATAGGAGAAGAGAGGTTTTATACGTTTTCATTTTGAGTGACTGTTCCCAATCCATTACTGCCCTTGACTTAATGGCTGCTGTCTGCCGCGGGAGCGGCCTTCTCCAGGGGGCTTGTTTGTCTCTGTGTCCCTCCCCATTATCAGGAGGGATACATCCCAAGATGTATCTATCCCCGTCCCACTGCCCTGTGGATTGGCTGTCAGCTTAATCTGTATTCTCTGGGCCCTGGGAGGCCAGGGCTTCTGCTGCTGGGCCCGGGCTGTTACCTGGTGACCTTGGGGAAATCGCTTGCCCTCTCCTCCTCAGGGCCTCAGGCACCCGCTCTGGGAAAGGAGGGGTCAGACTCTAGGACCTGAAAAGTGTGGGACGATTCTGGGCTCAGCCCTTTGCCAATCCCACTTGGTGGCCCCGAGTGGACCCGTTTGTCCTCTCATCTTGTGACACCAAACGGGGACCCAAGGGCTGGCCATGAGTCATAGAGTTGCCACCTGCCTCTGGCTGCGGTGGTTACCACCGGTGAGGGGTCTCACGGGTCTGAAGACCCTGAACCATTCTCGTTTCCCTCCGTGATCACCACCTGAGCGTTCAGCTGCCTGCATGTCTGCCCGAGCCCTCTGGCTTCTTTAAGCCTCGAGCTGGCTGTGGAAGAGCGGACACCAGCGGCGGGATCGTCGGGCACCAAGGGTAGCCTCCCGCGTACAGCTGTGTGACCTTGAGCGAGTCACTTCCTCTCTCTGAAACTCAGTTGTTCGCATAAGGAAAATGGGAATTCGTTCATTTGTTCAACACACATTTGGTTGCCTTCTCTGTACTGTGCACCACTTTGGGGGCTGCAGCAACACACGAAACAAAAATACCCCAGCCCGCAAGCATGTATGTTCCTGTAGAAGAAACAACATAATAAACATAACAAATAACGCCACTTCAAAGGTGGCAAAGTGGAGCAGGGAATGGGGAAAGCCCAGCCGAGGGTTCTGCCATTTTCAATGAAGTAGTCACGGGAGATTACTGAGAAGGTAGTGTTTGAGCAAAGATGGAAGGAGCACAGCTCTGAGAGGGGGATGAGAGGTGTGGGGGGCCCCTGCGGGGGGCTGTCCAGTGGGGGGCAGGTGGCCTTTCTCCAGCCTGGCTGCAGATGAGAACCCCCAGGGAGCACTGAAACACCCTGGTGCCCCCAGCCTCCCCCACTGTGGCTCTGGGATAGAAGCTGGGCATCAACACTGTTAAAAGAGGGACTTCCCTGGTGGTCCAGCAGTTAAGACTCCGCGCTTCCAGCGCAGGGGGTGCAGTTTCAATCCCTGGTCGGGGAACCGAGATCCCATGCTGTGCGGCAGGGCCAAAAAAATAACAAAATTGAATAAATAAAATTGAGTGAAAAAAAAATAAAGAATTGTCAACAACCGCTCTGGAATGTGGTGTCTCAGGCTCTGAGTATCTGCTCGTGTGGTTCCTCCCTGGCTGTCTGGGAGCCTTTCTCCCCAGACACAGGCCGGGCCCCGGTGCGCCCCCCCTGCACTCCGTGCCCTCCATGCTCTGACCCAGCCCTCTGACCTCGCAGGCCGTGGCAGCTCCGGGCACGGGTCACCATGGGGAAGCGTTACTTCTGTGACTACTGTGACCGGTCCTTCCAGGACAACCTCCACAACCGCAAGAAGCACCTGAACGGCCTGCAGCACCTGAAGGCCAAGAAGCTCTGGTATGACATGTTCCGAGGTGAGTGCTGGGGGAGCCCTGGTCTCTGATTGCGCTGATCATCCATGGGGAAGCGTCGTGGGCCACTGACCGTCCTGGTCTGGGCTCTCTGAGGAGCCAAAGAGAGAGGCCCAGGCCGCTGGCCCCTGCCCTCGGAGGGGCAGGTGGAAGGCGCACTCCTCTCCCTGCAGTTCTGACTGGAGGCTCCGTTCTCAGACCCCTTGCTAGGCTCCGGAGGACACCGGGGACAGGGAGAGGGTCTCTCTGAGGAGCTGGTGTTCCCGTCCTCGACTTAGGGAAAAGCCCGGGCTCCATCCTGAGCAGGTGTTCTTGTAGCAGGAGAGAGAAGGCGAGGAGCTGGGCTGAAGCTGGCCACGGGGCTGGGGAGCACTTGGCACGTGCCTGACTGCCCAAGAGGCTCTGAAGACCTAAGGGTGAATAAAACAGGGCCCCTCTCTTCTGTGACCTTACTCCCCGTTACAACAGCATGCTCAGGGTGGAACCCCTGTCCTGCCCAGGCCTCCGTGCCCTGCTGACCTTTCCCTCCAAGCTCCAGCCACGCTGGCCACAGCCAGTGCTGTCATCTCAGCTGCCAGGCCTTTCCTGCTGTCCTGCCCTCCCCCAAAGTGTCCTCCAGGACACCCTCTTCGACCCCTGGGCCAGGGCAGGTCATCTGGCCGCGTGCTGGCTGTTTACCTCGCTCATCACTGCATGGATTAGTGTGACTGTCAGAGTGGAAGGAAGGACCAGGTCTGACTTGTCCTCCGCTGAGTCCTCATCCTGGCACAGCGCCTGGCGCCCAGGACGTGCCCGGGAAATGTTTGCTGGGCGAATGTCTCAATGAACGAGCAAACAGACCCAGGGCCGCGGAGAACTGAAGCGAGAGGGCCGGTGGGGTTAAACCGCAGGAGCCCTGAATGCCGGGCAGAGGGGGGGCCTGGGCTAGGGGTTCTCAACCCGGATGCACTTCAGCATCACCGAGGAGCATTTTAACAGTTCTCAAGCCCTCCCCTCAGATGAAAGAAAACAGAAGCTGGGAAAGACAGGCTGGGGCTCAGTAGACTTGAAAAGCTGCCTGGAGCTTCTGCCGTGTGGCTGGAGTTGGAGCCAGCAGCCAGATGCTGGGCAGCCTGGAGCCCTTCCCCATAGGGTTGTCTTGACAACCTTGTCAAGACTCAGACTCAGCCCCTCTTCCAGTTTCTCTGTCCTGCCTGGGAGACGGGTGGCAGGGGAGGCTCTGAGCAATGTCCAGATGCCTTCCACCGGCCCACCTCCCCAAGGCGAAGCCTCTGGCACTAGCCGGGTGGGCTGAGCAACAAGCCTAGTGCTGACAGATGGACCCCGCCCAGGCTGCCAGCCCCACCCACGCTCCGGCAGGCAGGCAGGGTGTGAGTCCTCTGATAACTAGCTGCAGACCTCAGCCCAGCCCCGCCCCCGGCCGCCAGCTGGCCCACCTAAGGTGAGGAGCTGCGTCCGTCAGCTCCGCCCTGCTGCTGCTCAGCCGTGTCCAGCTCTTTGCCACCCTGTGGACGGCAGCCCCCCAAGCTCCTCTGTCCATGGGATTTCCCAGGCAAGAATACTGGAGTGGATTGCATTTCCTCCTCCAGGGGCTCTTCCTGACCCAGGAATTTCTCCCGAACCTTCTGTGTCTCCTGCATTGCAGGCGGATTCTTTACCCACTGAACCATCAGGGAAGCTCAGCCCAGGGAGTCAGCAGCCACACAGGAGAAGGCAGGGGCTGGAGGCTCTCTGCTGGGGCACAAACTCGGCGCTGCCAGTGCCTCCCTGTGGGCCCCCTTTCCTTGCATGAACCTCAGTATTCCCATCTGCAAAATGGGCCTGCTTGCATATATGACAGGTTTATGAGGAGGTCATGGAGTAAAAGCTGCACTTGTTTGAGCTTCCACTTCTGGCTGCACGTTAGCGTCACTGGGGACCCTGGTGCTGAGGCTGCTCCCAGCCCCACTTTCCTGACAAAATTCTAATGTGTGGCGTCCTCTGCCAAGTGTTCTCCATCCATTAACTTATTAAATGTTCACAGCAGGTGAGCATTTTCCTCCCATTTTACATGTGGGGAACCTGAGACGTGGAGAGATTAAGCAGTTTGCCTGGGGTCCTGTGAATCTAGGCTCCGAAGCCCCTGGTCTTTTCTTTACCCCAGTGGCCTCTGGAGAAGGTGGTGGACAGACAGGGTTAAGTGCACAGCCCAGGCCTGGCCACCCCCTCCTCCGGGGCGACATGAGGGCTCTGAGCCAGGGCGCTGTCCTCGTGGGCCTCACTCACCCACAGATTTTGACCAATTGATTCCTTGCCCACCAAGGAGCACACAGGGTTTAAGCTTAAAACGGAATTTAAATTCTAACATGTAAGATTTAATATTCAACATGGGATTCCCTGATGGCTCAATGGTAAGGAATCCATCTGCAACGCAGGAGACCCAGGTTTGATCCCTGCGTTGGGAAGATCCCCTGGAGAAGCAAATGGCTAGAGAGTCTTAGGAAGTTGCAGTGACAGTACACAGAAGTCTTCTTCCGATTGAACCTGGGCCTCCTGCATTGCGGGCAAATTCTTTATGTCTGAGCCACGAGGGGGCCCAGGAGACCCACTTCCTGGTGACTCGGTCGGTAAAGAAGCCGCCTGCAGCTCAAGAGACACAGGAGGTGGGGGTTTGGTCCCGGGGTCAGGAAGAGCCTCTGGAGAAGGAGATGGCAACCCACTCCAGTATTCTTGCCTGGAAAATCCCATGGACAGAGGAGCCTGGCAGACTACAGTCCATAGGGTCGCAAAAGAGTCAGACACAGCTTAACGACTAAACCATCTGATACCAGGACTTAAAAAAACTCCCCAGGTGATCTGCTGTGCATGGCTGAGAGTCCCTGACCTCACACCCGTCCTGGCTTTGGGCTGGATGGGGCTGAGGTCTTCTGAGGCTCGGCTCCCTCTCCCCCGAGTTCCTGCCCGTGGTCGTCCCCTCGTCCCCTCCTCGCTGGGTGAGGCGCTCTCCCTTTCCCTGGTGTCGGTGGTAGGAAGTGCCTGTCCGCAGCCACAGTCTGAGCCCGGCTTCTGTCTCCTTGCAGACGCAGCTGCCATCTTGCTGGATGAGCAGAACAAGAGGCCGTGCCGGAAGTTTCTCCTGACAGGTAAGCTGCCCTGCCCCGTCCAGGTCCCTCAGGGACCCACCTGGCCTGCCTGGACCTCTGCACAGCCCGCCCCCCGCGCTCACCCCAGCCGCCACCCTGAGCCGGCTTCGTGGTCTCAGTCACCCGGGGCCTTCCCAGGGGGTTGTGCCTTATGACAGCCAGGGCTTGGTCCTCAGCTCTTCACACCTCAGCATGTGATTTTATCAGGTCACCCAGGACAAGCAAGCACTGGGTGAATGAGAGCCTGCGAGTCAATCCAGGAGACACTGATGGGTGTAATAGACTGGCTGATTAAGTTAGCCTGGGAGCCTGACCTTCACCGCGCCCTCCCTCCCAGCAGGCACGGCTGGAGACGCTAACAGGTCCGACAATAGCAAGAAGCTTCAGAGTTCGAACAAAGGGTGCTGGGTGTTGCTTTCACTGCTCAGTACCCAGCTAATAAAGATGCATGTAGTTCAAAGAGACAGAAACCTCAGCAAGTGGAGGAACCAAAGGCAGGTGAAAACAAGGGTAGGAAGAATGGGGCAAGGGCAGGAGAACGGTTCTCTCCTCCAGGCTTGCCCCGAGGTCCTCTGTGCTCACGAAGGGCTTGGCCCTGAGTTTCCTCGCGGCAAAGCAAAGAGGGCACCATGGCGGTTAGCAAGCTGTGAGGGGGGCTTGGCACTGCTGTTGGCCTCGGGAAGCGGGGTGAATGGCTACGCTCCCCTCAGGAGGCAGCGCTGCCCCCAGTGTGTCCTGAACATGACATGGTCCACGAGGCTGGCTTAGGACACCTCTGTCTCCTGTGTGTTTGTTTTTTCTCTGTTTTTATTGGATTGATTTACAGTGTTGATTTACAGTGATGTATTAGTTTCAGGTGTATGGCAAAGTGATTCAGTTATACATATGTTTATACCCACTGTTTGTTTTAGATTCTCTTCTCATATAGGCCGTTACAGAGTAGAGTTGCCCGTGCTATACAGTAGATTCTTATTAGTTGTCTGTTTTATATTCAGGAGGCGGTATATGTCCAGTGTATCCCTCCCCCAGCCCCACAGCCTCTTGTTATTTTGAGACACTTTCTGGTCTCCACAGTTAAGATTCGGAAAGCCACCCTGGACTTCGGCACCGCCTAGACAACGCTGCCGTGAGAGCCCTTCTGGGGAGCAGTCCAGCCCCTTGTGCCCCACCCCCAACCATGCGCCATGGGCAGGGGCCCCCAGGGGGCGGGCGCAAGGCAGCAGGGCCCTCGCAGGGCCCCACCACAGCTTGATGGGGCTGGGGCAGGGGAGGTGACAGGGGACAAGCCTGCAGAGGCTTAATGGAGCCCAGTCACTAGAGGGGCTTCCCTGGTAAGCTGGTAAAGAATCCACCTGCAATGCGGGAGACCCCGGTTTGATCCCTGGGTCGGGAAGATCCCCTGGAGAAGGGATAGGCTACCTACTCCAGTATTCTTGGGCTTCTCCTGTGGCTCAGCTGGTAAAGAACCCACCTGCAATGTGGGAGACCTGGGTTCGATCCCTGGGTTGGGAAGATCCCCTGAAGAAGGGAAAGGCTACCCACTCCAGTGTTCTGGCCTGGAGAATTCCATGGACTGTATAGTCTATGAGATTGCAAAGAGTCGGACATGACTGAGCGACTTTCACTCACTCACTCACTAGAGGCTACAGTGGACTTTGGTCTCCGGCCAGGGAAGGGCTGTGAGCAGGGCCTGGGCGACCAGACAGGCCGTTCTGGCAGCTCCTGTGGCCAGGCCAGAGAGAGTGCAGCTGCCTCTTCAGGGCTGGGGTGGCCACTCCTTAGTCCCCGGTGCCAGCGCGCCCCTCCTCAGGCTGCCCGTCAGCCCGGGGCAGTCCGTTCCAGCAGTGAGTAACTGTCCTCCCGTTGCAGGCCAGTGCGACTTTGGCTCCAACTGCAGATTCTCCCACATGTCAGAGCGAGACCTGCAGGAGCTGAGCATCCAGGTGGAGGGTGCGTCTCTGGGACCCTGGGCTGGGGGGCAGGGGTTGCTGGGGGGGTTGCTGCCCTGCGTCTCCCCCACCCCCTCTTTTGTGACTGCCATGTTGGGTGGCCTGTGGCTTCAGGAGCTGCCTTCCGTTCACCCCGGGCATGAGTGGGGAAGGAGCCAGAAGCTCCCGTCCATGTCCCCAGCTGGGTTTAAAGTGAGACGCATGGCTTCCTGCCCGGGAGTCCTGAGGGTGTGCCTCAGCCCCGCCAGGGCCCTGCTAGCCTGCCCTTCATTCTTGTACACCCACCCGCCCTTCCTCACTCAGGCCACGTGTTTGGGGTCCCTCCTTGGCCCCTGGCAGCTCCCCTGTTGCTGCTCTGGGTCTGAGGGGATAAGAGAGCACCTTCCCTGACCTCAGGGCGCTCTATGGAAAGGTGAGGTCAGCATCCGCCTGGAGACCGGCCTGTCCACCTTTGTCCGCCATTCACTTCCTACTGCTGTAATTAGAGAAAAGGGAATTCCCTCTTAGGTGGTCTTTATCAATCTTCTGCTGCCCCTCACTGAACCCATGGAGAAACAGCCTTGCCTGAGCCCCCGGCAAGCGCGGTGCCTCCCTCCACGTGGCCAGTGAGCGTCTGGGGCGGCCTCGCCTTCGCCCTCATCCCCTGATGGGCCTCACTCCCCTCTGCCCAGTCAGACTCTGTGGGCAGTGCCTGCCCCAGGGGGCTGGTGGCAGTGCAGCCGCAGCCCTGGCACAGACAGAGGTCTCTCGGCACTTTTCCAGGGCAGAAGTGAGGCCCGTGGGCCAGGCCGGTGCATCCCAGCAGCCAGCTATATCTGCAGGCCCTCCCCACCACTGTCTCTCAGAACCGATGGCCTGTGGAGCGGGGAGCACACAGACTCTGCCCTGTTCTGCAGCCCACACTGCCTCCCCGATCCCAGGAGGGTTTGGACCCTCCTGAAGACCAGGCTCTCAATACACGTTATCCCGTGTCCACCTCCAGAAAGCTGGGGGCAGCCACGGTTAGGTCTACACTGATGAGGAAGCAGGGAGGCCCGGGAGCGCTGCCTGGGGAGGCAGGTGGCTGCAGGTGGAGACAGGCCAGAGGCTTCGCTCCTGGCCCCCCAGCCTGTGCCCCCCACCCCAGAAGGTTCCACCTGCCATGTGGGAGTGTGGGAGTGAGTATGGCCCTCACTCGCCCATCTGTCTGTCCCCCCAGAGGAGAGGCGGGCCAGGGAGTGGCCGCTGGACGTCGCCGAGCTTCCTGAGGTCCGCCTGGAAGACTGGCTGGAGAAGCGAGCCAAGCGGCTGAGCTCCGCCCCAAGCAGCAGGTATGGCCCTGGGGTCCTGCCTCTGCGCCCTCCAGGAGCAGGACCCCAGCCAGCTCGCCCTTGCCACCACCAACTGCCCAGGGACCAGACACAGATGCCCACGTCGGACTCCCCAGGGGGGCCACATCGGGGCTCTCGGCCCCCAGGCCTGGCCAGAGGCTGACGGGCACTTGCTTGTAGGTTCCCGTGCCTGGCCTTGTGCCCAGCCTTGGTGTCTCCCCCTTATGGCAGTTTGCCCTGGCTGAAGGCGGACAGGTGGCCAAGGCAGCTTGACTCCACATCACTCAGTGTCCCTCCCCAGAGGAAGGGGCCGGACCATGGTCACTGTCCCCTCTAGACCCTGCCAGAGGGCCACGGTTGCCCCGACCCTGCAGAAGGGGAAGGGAGGCTCGTGGGAGGTGTGACGTGTCGGGGGGCAGACAGCTCTGAGTGGGCAGAGCCGGGATGGCACAGGGGGGTGACAAGACTCCTCGCCGTTGGCCTTGAGGAGGGGGCTGGGGTGGGGCTGACCCAGCTGCTGCCTGGGCCCAGGAGTAGACAGGGTGCCCTTCACCCCTCCTACGGGAGCAGCCTGGGTCAGACACCCAGGTTCTGCCCCTCAAGGTCACGGGCAAGGCCAGAGCTGGGGCTCCTGGGGCCTTCCCCCAGGTATTGAGAGAGAAGGGAGGAAGAGGGCTACAGGATGTGCTCGGGAGCTGCCGGACGTGGGGAGGTCGCCTGCGCCCGGCTGCACCGGGGCTCCAGAACCGGTGATGTCTGCGGTGGCACCTCATGGTCATAGGCCCGGCCGGCACAGTCTGTGGGGTGAGGCCTCCCCTTGAGGCTCCAACAGGAGGTGAGGCCAAGCCTCCTGCCTTCTCCATGCCCCAGTGAGGAGAGCTCGTTAAGCTGTTTTAAAATTAATGCTGCTTTTAAATCTGTGCCCAGTTTGTCCCCCGACCTTGAAGACACACAGTACAGCCCTGACTCTTATGTTGGAGCGTGACAGCCCCTCCTTCTGGTCCCGTCAGGACCAGTTATGACCTTGGACGTCCATCCTCCACACAACCACCCCAACCAGCTTTTAGAACACTCCCCGGGCCCAGCCCCTGCTGAAACGCTCCGGGCCTGCTCCCCCTCAGGGGAGCCTGGACTCCGCCGCCCACCTCGAAGGGCCCTGGCTAATTTCTCTGCCGCCTCCGTGGCCAATGGGGGTCACCTTCTCACCTCCCCCGTCCTGTCAGGACACTTGGCGGCTTCTTAGATATGGTGGGCGTTCCTGATTTCAGGGCGCCTTGTGCTATTTCCTCGGCCTGGAACTGCCCGCCCCCCCCCATGTCTGCCTGGCAGAGTCAGACTCATCCTTCAAGCTTTAGCTGAGATGTCTCCCTTCCCCAGCCCGCCCCGCCCTGGGCCTCCCCCTCACGGCCCGGAGCTCACGCGTCAGCAATGTGGCGCAGCCCCAGGACACGCTGGCTGAGGAGAGCATCTGGGGAGAGGGGCCCGCCCGGCAGACCATTCCTGGGTGTTAGTGCCACGGGCGCCTGGTGGGGACGGGCCTGGGGGCCCCTCTACCTCTCGGGGTGTGTCTGTTCCCCCCCCCACCAGGACACACAGGGCCCAGATGGCTGCCTGGCCTACCTGGGGCCACCCAGCCCCAAGGGCTCCGACCCCCCAGGCCGAGCAGAGCCCTCAAGCTGAGCCGGGCCAGCCCTCCTTGTGAAGGGGAGATGCAGGCTAGAGGGGGCCCCAGCCTGCTGCTTGTGTGTCCCCTGCCCCCCACCCCGGCAGACTGACCCTGAGGGTCCTGCTGGAGCGGGCAGTGCTGGGAGCGGGGGGCCGGCCTCAGACCAGCAGGCTAATCCCCGGCCAGGCCAGGGCTCATCCTGCTTTCCATTGTTGGCGCTTCAGATTGTGACTTTATCCATCTTAATCTCCCCTCTGTACCCCTCCCCGGGCCGGGCGCTCCTGTTCAGCCCAGGCGCCTCCCTGAGACTCTCTCCTCCTAACTGGGCCCAGGGCAGAGGACAGCGAGAGAGGAGAGCTGCCCCTGTCCCCGTGCCGGGCACACAGGGCGCCTGCATCCCCGTCCGCTCTGTGCGGGCTGGAGGGGCCTGCGGGCCTGGGGAACGTGCCCTTCTCCTGGCGGGAGCCCTCGGCCGCCCGGGCGTCTGCCCCGGGTCCCGGAGGCAGGACGGGGCTCCCCGATGGGTCACACCCTCTCTGTGGAGCAGCGGGGCACCCTGGCCCCGCGGGGAGCCCAGGCTTGGAGGGCAGCCGGGGCATCCCTTGCAGCAGCCGCGGGGCCTCCCACCTCACTCCCACCCTTCTCTGCGGCTGCTGGAGTTTCTGACGTCTCCCCGACACCGTAAATCACAGTGGGAGCCGCTCTCTGTGCATTCCGGCAGGCAGCAGACAGCCGAGCAGGGATTCCCCTGTCCTCACGCCTTGGGAGGTCCCGAGGCCGCCTGAAGCCCTCGCTCTGGGTCTGGGTCTGAGGCGGGTCAGGCCAGAGAGGGGCCCCAAGCCTCCAGACCTCCTGCAGACAGCTGGCCATGGCCGGCCCCGGGCCTGCCGCCAGCCGCCAAGACCTTGCCCACACTGAATGCGGGGCCTGGGGGTGAGGGGGTTGAGGGGAGGGCTGGGCAGGCTGAAGCGCGAGCAGCAGCCTGCGTGGGGCTCAAGTCCAGGAGGATCAAGCGGCTGTGGAGGCAGTGGGTGGGGCAGGCTCCCTGAGGACAGGGCCGCCCCAGGCTGCCCACAGCGGGGGTGCGTGCTTCACACAGGCCCCTGTCCCCAGGAGGCGGCTCCCAGGATGGTGGACCTCAAGGGGGGGGAGAGTGAATAGAGTGAGAAATGAGGCTTTATAAAAAAAAAAAAATTTAGACAATATTTTTTTTCTGATTTCAAAGGCTTGCGTGCTTGTAAAACTTTTCTTGAAAAGTATAAAAGTAGAAAAAAAAAATCACCCATAATTGCACCACTCAGATAGAACCACTGTTAACATTTTGCTGTGTCTTCCAGGTTTTTTTTCTTTTTATGCATTTATATATGTTATATATCTTTAAACAAAAATAGTATCATGCTATATACATTATTTTATAAGCTGCTTTTTCTACCCTCCTCACACAGCATGTCATGACACCTTTCCTCATCAGTGCATATAAGTCGGCCCCTGTTCTCACATAGGTTGCATAGCATTCTCTGCTGTGAACGTGCATATATATTTATCCATTTACCCCTCCCCCACAGGTGGACTCCTTAGGTTCCTCCCATCTCTCATAGCTGTCTCTGCCCCCAACCCCCACTATTTTCCTTGGGCACATTCCTAGAGGGGCGGCTCAAAGAGCCTGCGTGTTTCTGAGGCTCTGCCTTCCTGAACTGGTGATTCAAGCAGCGCCCTCCCACCCCACAGCTGGGGTGTTGGGGAGGGTGAGCTGGGCAGCGGGGGAGTGCCCTAGCCTGGGCCGCGGCGCCCCACTCTTAATTCTCCGTCTTTCCCTCTGGGTCTAGGGCTGAGCCCGTGAGAGCCACCATGTTCCAGTACCCCGTGGGCTGGCCGCCAGTCCAGGAGCTGCCTCCGTCCCTGCGGGCACCCCCGCCTGGGGGGTGGCCCCTTCCGCCCAGCGTCCACTGGGGCTGAGCCCCTCCTCCCTGCCTGGCAAGCTCGTGAGTCAGCCACAACCAAGATAAGGGCTCCTACGGCGGACACCGAGGCCCCTCCCGCTGCGCCCCATGGAGCGTGGGGAACTCAAGCCTGGGCCCCTGAGACCTGAGCGCCCCCCACCCCCACCAGGCGCAGCCCTGGCCCTGACTGGGTACCGGGCCGCTCCATGCCCACCCCCTCAGCGGACATTTCAGAGGACTTCCTTCCTGATGTTTATAAAGGAAGTCTGTCACCACAGTGGCGTGGCTGCCCTTGACCCTCGCCTGGCGCCCTCTGCTCCGTGCTCTGGCCCTGGGTCGGGAGATGGGCCAGGTGAGGTCCTCTCCGGCCTGACCGGTGCTCGCTGACCTTCTCTCCCTGGGGGGCGGCGGAGGCTCAGCGCGGCTGGGCAGGACTGGTCCAGACCAGGCGTGGCTCCGGATCTGGGGAGGGGAGCTGAGGACCAGGTCTGCTGTCCCAGCCCCCACATCCACCCGTGCCAACCACGAGGTGGCACAGCTCGGGCGGGGCTCGGAGCCGGGTCTCCGGCCTGGATGGTGTGGAGAAGTGGGCGACCCCCAGAGGGCAGGCCCTGGGCTGGGGTGAGCAGCCTGGCTGAGCGTCCCAGCACCGACATCAGGGGGGCTCCCACCCTGGAGGAGCCAGCCCCCTGATGGATGGGGAGACCACACAGGCGGCCCGGGGGGCCCACAGCCCAGCCTGCACTCCAGGTCGAGACGCTGTGCTGGGTGCTGGCGGGCAATGAGGCCCCCTGGTCACTGGGCCTCTGGTGGGGGCGCCCAACGGGTGGGGTGGCTACCGGGCTCCATCTTTCCTGAGCTTCTGCCCTTCCTGAAAATCACCATTGATGGGGGGAGCTGAGGCCAATTCTGGGAGCCCTCTGGACCTCAGACTCCTCCTCTCTGAAATGGGCTGCTTCTCTAGTGTGAGGACGAAGGCTGGCTTGAGTCTAAGGAAGGTCACAGGGAGGAAATCAGCAGAGGGCGGGCTTCCTCAGGCCTGCAGGGCCCAGCGCCCAGGGCCCAGGAGACCCCGGCCTCGTCCCACTCCAGGAGGTGCTCGTCCCACGGCCCCGGGCACCCCTCAGGGACCAGGCTGGGCACACGGTGCCTCCTCCTGCCTCCGGGAGCCCAGCAGCTCCCGGGCCCTGCACAGATTCCTCCTGTTAACGTCCCGGAGCCCCCCACCGCCCCGGACAGCGGGAAGAGTTGGTGTTACGGGACAGCAGGCCAGGGTGGGGCACGCAGGGTGCAGGCGGGGCCGGGCCCTCCACGGCGGGGCCACGGCCCATGCAAGGCCCTGAAGGACACGCGGGGGCGGCCCAGGGGCGGCGGCGGGGGTGGGCGGCGGGCGTAGGCGGGGCGGTGAGGGGCGGCCCCCGGCCCTGCGCACCAGGCGCCTATTTCATGCCGCTGCGCAGCACCTGGTTGGCCGCGATGAGCATGACGCTGATGATGAAGGCGATGGCGAAGGCGCAGATGAGGCTCTTCCGCACGCACGTCTGGCGGATCTGCTGGTTGGAGCAGGCTGCGGCCGCCGCCACCGGGAAGCAGCAGAGAGACAGAAGGGACAGCCAAGCGATGGACTCAGGGGCCGCCTGCCCTTCCGCACGGGGCGCGTGGAGGCGCGGCGTCTGGGGTGAACGAGGAGGCCCCCAGCTCTCCCCGCCCCCAGCCCGGGTCCCTCCGCTGCCCTGCCCGGAGTCCCCGGGGGCCACTCACTCTCCACGTCCACGGGGCACTCCTCCGCCGTGCCCAGGTGGCTCTCCTCCTCCGTCATGATGATGTTCTCGATGTCTTTCATGGACAGGTGCTCACAGAAGGTGTCGTAGAGCAGTCGCTTCAGCTCGTCCACGGTCAGCTTCTGCATGTCGCACTTGGGTGCGGGGCAGACACGGTGCTCTGGCCACGGCCACCACAGCCCCCAACACCAACCGTCCCCACCCAGCCCCTGTGGCCACACAAGCCGGCGACGAGCCTCCAGGTCCCGGAGGGCAGGGAACCGCTCACCCCTCTCCTTGAGTCCTCAACCCAGTGGCCTCCCCAGGGAAGCCCTTGGCCCAGGGGAGAAGCCTGGAGGCGTCACTGCCCCCACTCTACAGCGTGGGCCCGACCCTTCGATGGCCCCAGTACAGCCCTCCAGTCACCCAGGGCGTACCTTCCAGAAGACGGTGTCAAAGTCAGTGCCGTGGAACTTCTCCGGGATCCCCGAGGTGGAAAGCTTGGGTCCCAGGAGGGTCACAAACTCCTCAAAGTCCACCTGGCCGTCACCTGGAGCGGGCCGGGTCCCAGTCAGCTGGGAGGCCGCACCGGGCCACGCGGGGACCCAGGGAGCCCCTCCTCGGAGCCTCCCGCGCCAGGCTCCGGGCCAACGCTGAAGCCACCAAGTGTGCGGAGGCCCCGCCTGACAGGTGTGTGTGGGGGCTGTGGTGCGGCAGGCGGGCCCTGACTGGCCTCGCCCGTGGGAGACGTGTTTCACCCTGAACGCTGCTGCCCGGAGCAGGTGTAGGGCCGACATCCGCCCCCCAACACACAGGAAACGAAGCTCAGGATGGGGGACCACCCACCCAGGTGGGCAGGTGCTGTCCCTGTGGAGAGGGGGCGTGGGAGGGGCCAGAGGAGACTGGGAGGAGAGGACTGGGCCTTCCTGGTGCTTACGAGTTTTTCCTTCATTGAAAGCCAGATGGCAAATACAACTAATGATTTTTTTTTTTTTGGTGATGGGAACTGGCATATTAATATATTGTTTAGTCGCTCAGTCGTGTCCGATTCTTTGCAATCCCATGGACTGTAGCCCACCAGGCTCCACTGTCCATGGGGTTTCCCAGGCAAGAATACCAGAGTGGGTTACTATTACCTTCTCCAGGGGAGTCTTCCCAACCCAGGGATCGAACCCCCATCTCCTGCCTTGCAGGCGGATTCTTTACCACCGAGCCACCAGGGAAGCCCGTTTAGTAGATATTCTTACTTTTCTGTACTTTAAAATTTTCTTGGAGACTTCCCAGTAGTTAGGACTCCTTGCTTCCACTGTAGGGGGGATGGGTTGAACCCCCAGTAGGGGAACTAAGATCCCACAAGCTACAACACGGTCAAAAAAAGAAAAATTCTTGGAATACAGAGGTACAGGGTCTCCAACTTCCTGGGTATAGCTGGGGCTGTCACACTCTGTCTGGCCTCAGCCGTCCAGCTGAGAAATGGGGCCAGACCCGGCTGCAAACTGCCATTGGCTTGGGGCTGACCGGCAGTGGTGAGAGTGAAAGGACCCCTGTGGGCTCGGTCCTGGGGGCTCAGGGTCCAGACTCGGCTCCCCGGTGTCCCCCGCAGGTGAGGGCTGAGGAAACAGACAGGGGCGCGGCTCACCGTCCATGTCCAGCCTCTGGATGATGACCTCCAGCTCCACCTCGTTGGGCATGTAGCCCAGGGAGCGCATGGCCGTGCCCAGCTCCTGCTTGGAGATGAAACCATTGCCATCGCGGTCGAAGACTTTGAAGGCCTCTCGGATCTCTGGGGGAGGCGCAGCGCCGGTCAGGACCTCACCGCTGTCCCCGACAGCCCCCTCCCCAGGCCCCCGGCATCCAGACCCCTCCACCTGAGCCTGGGATGGAGAGCGCCCCCACCACCCTGACCCTCACCACCCTCTGGAGGCCCTGCAGGTCTGGTCAGAGACAGTCGGTGGGTGGCCCGAGTCCACTACAGCGCTGCCTCCCTGGAGCTCGGGGCAGGCCAAGCGCACAGCCGTGGAGCCGGGGCGGCGGCAGTGATGAGACTGCCCCAGGGTCTTGGGCTCCGCGTGCCAGGGTCCCACAGCCTCTCCAGGCGTGCTCACAACGACCCCGTGTGGCCGGCACCACGGAGCCCGCTGTGCAGGGGAGGACTCGGGCGGGGAGCCGGTCCTCCTTGAGCTGCCAAAGGCTTCCCGCCCACCCCCGCTCCTCCCATCCTCCCCCCCACCCCCATCACACTTCCTCCCCAGGCTCAGCTCGTTAACACCGGCCAGCACTCGTTAATGGCGGCCGCGAGAGGCAGCTGCAGCTGCGGGCTAACAGCTGGGCGCAGACTGCCTCCCGGAGCCCAAGATTTGGGGGAAGACAGGCTGGATGGAGGCGCCTCCGCAGGCCCAGGCCAGCTGAGGTGTGGGGGTCACTCCCCCCGACCACCACATCGTATGGAGGGGGAGACAGCCCCGAGGAACCTGGGTGACTCAGGGGTGGAGAGCAAGGCACGGGGCTGGGAGCCTGAGAAGCAACCCGAGGTGCGACCTTGGGCCAGCCTCAGTCTTACCCACAGTAAAATGGGCAGTCGTGGTGTGAGGTTTTACCAAAGATATCCAGGAACGGTTGAAGGTTGAAGGGTTCTAAACTGTCCCCGTTCACTTCTCCACCTCTGTCTCTGGGCTTGCTGTCCCTCCATTGTTACTCAGCCCCAGAAGGGTCCTACAGAGCACCTCCCGTTGTGTGGAGGGTCTCTCAGTCCACTCTCACTCCGCTCTGCTTAAGTTTCCGGGGGTCTCCTTGTTCAGTCTGCAGGTGGAGGGGAGCTCACGCGTGCAGGTGTATTTGGAAGGAGAGGTGTGCTGCATACCTGGAAAGTGAGGTCTAGGAGGCTAGGTGGCCACTGTGGGGGTCTGTGAGCCTCTGAGACTGACCGTGGGATCCTGCACCTTGCGGTCAGTCCCTGATCCTGCTGGACCCACTAGAGCCCAGAGAGGGTGGCCTTGTGTCCCAAGCCACATAGTAAGGCGGCTGCGGCCAAAGCCCCAGACTTCATCAGGTTCATCCCACCTGGCGCCTGCACCCAAGGCCTGAAGGTTCCAGCTGCCACGCAGGCCAGGCAAGTGTCCGCAGACCTCACCTGAGCTGCCTAGGCCCCCAGACCCTCTGACTCTGGACTGCCACCCCCCCAATCCTAGGTACGGCCTGAGAAACCAGTCTCCTAACCAGTGGCCCCTTGGCCAGAGGAGCAGCTTGGAAGGGAGAGCTGGGCCAGGCCAGGAACTCCTGTAAACCCTGGACTCGGGGAACTCCAGGCCAACGCCCACTTAGAATTTCCCTGGGCCATCGAGAAGGTCGCGAGCCCCCCACCCCCAGAGGTGTGTGAGCAGAGGACCAGCAGTTCCAGAGCTGCTGCAGGGGTTCCAGTCCCCTGGGAGTCCTGGGTAAGAGAGGAAGACACTGATTGCAGCCAGCGTTGTGTGCCCGACCCTATACACACACACACATACACACACACACACACACACACACACACACACACTTAGGTTTTTGGCTGGCTCTGTTGGCCTCCTGACCCAGCCCCAGGCTCTGCCCACCTTACCTGTCCTGAACTCCAGCCCTAGGGGCCCTTTCAGTCTAGGTGGGCACCAGGGCTGCTCCCCCTGCAGGCCTCTGAACGTGAGGCTCCTTTTGCCTGCAACACTCGTCCCCTCTCCATGGCTAACTCTGATACATCCCTGGTTCCCAGCAAGGATGGACGGCATCACACAGACGGATGCCCCTGCACAGACCCCTTCCCCCGAGGATTCCTTCCTGACCACCCTGGACTGTGAACTATGAGATGCCATGAGCGCAGGGATGGGTGGGTCTTGTTCACCGCTGTGTCCCGTGACCTGGAAGGGTGCAGTCATCCAAACCGAGCCATTTGCTAATAAATGGTTAAATGAATGACTGATTCAGGGACCCCCTCCTACATCTGGAGCACACACAGAGGAGCTGAGCAGAAGTTCATGGTCCACGTGGTGTGGGGCCACCTCTCAGAACCCATTTACTCTTAGTTTACAAACCATCCTAGTAAGGGCAGGTGTTAGCCAGATGCGGGGGGTAGGGGGAGGCTGGGGTGCCACCTGTCCTCTCGTGCAGCCCCGAAGGACCCCTGCCCGCCATGGGCCACCACAGAAGAGCGGGATCAAGCCAAAGTCAGGTGGAGGGAAATCACCCTCAGATGAACCATCCTCAGACGCCCAGATCAGGGGCTGGTTTGGGGAAGTGGGAACCCAAGGAAAGCACCCCATCTTTCTGGGTCTGCAGTTGGGAGATCTCACTGTGGGATAGTAAAACCGCAGCCTCATAGCACAGTGGTGCTGCAGTGGGTGCTGGCTCGCTCCCCTGACCTCCTCCTAAAAGTCCTGAGAAAATACACGCACAGGGGACAGAGCAGGTGAATCTTGGGGTACCCAGGCAGGCGACAGTCCCAGAGGCACCCCTTTCTCAGGCAGGACTAACCTCCCAAGACCGCTGGGTCAGTCCAAAAGCCGCCGCCTCCCCTTCCACGTGTCCCCTTAGCTGTCCCTCCCTGGCACGCTCCCTCACGCCTCTGTCTTGCTGTGACCTCAGCCTTGCTCAGAGCCACGACCCAGCCCCTGCTGATTCCCCGAGGCCAAGTTCCGGGATCACCTTCTCAGCCGGAGAATCAGCACTAAGTCACACAGACTTGGGTCAGATCCCAGCTCTCCTACGTCCTGGCCAGGTGCCCTCGGGTGGGTGTTTGCTCACCTGTACAATGGGGCTGCGGAAACAAATAAATCGGAAAATCAAGCATGTGAGAGCTCGGCCGGGCCGGGCCTGGCTCAGAGCAGGATGCTATAAATCAGAACATCCCAGATGTTCCGGCAGAGCCGGAAGGAGAAGGGAGGTCTCAAGGAGCTTCGGACACCAGGCCAGCCTTCCTGTTTGCTGGTACCAGGGCCTGGAGGCCTAGGGCTTGGAGTCTGGCCTTGCTGCTCAGCAGCCAAGAGACCTGGACACGGCACCTCCCTCTCTGAACCTTAACAGACTCATTTGTGAGCTGAGAACGTGACTCTTGCCCCATCCTGGAGACCTGGACGCTGCTGGGGGCTCCCAGAGCAGGGTGGGCATCACGGCTTGCCTGTTGCTGCTGCTGCCATTGACACAGCCCAGCTGGGCGCGTTTCCCCGAAAGCCTCACTCTGTTCCTGCCCCAGGAGGCTGGGGGAAGCCTGCCGCGCTCCATCTTGGCATGGGGACGCCTGGCCCGGGCAAGGGCTGGCAGGGCCTCTGAGTTTCCAGGCCGACACAGGTCCCTTCCTGCTGCCTCCAGCCTCTGCCCTCAATCCCTCCCCTGGCCCAGGGAGCTGCATCAGGGCCAGACTCCCCAACCAGCCCCACGGGAGCCGGAGCCCAGAGAAGGGGTGTGTGGGCTGGAGGTCACTTTCAGGGGGCAGAGTGTGTCCTCTGCGGTGACGGCTCCTCTCCGCGGCATTGGCCCTGCGCCCCAGCACTTTGGCCTCCCTGAGTTTCTGGCCTGTGCAGAGGTGGCTGCTGGGCTTGCAGGAAAGAGGGGCAGGAAAGGGGACCCCTCTCTACCCGGAATGCCCCATTTGGCCATGCACAGACTCCACTGACTGAGCAGGTCAAGTGCCCAGCCCAGACCCCTGTCCTGGTGGGTGGCTGCCTGTCCATCTGTCTCCCTCCTCCTCTCTCTGAGGGAGGGCCTGCTGCTCCCCAGCTCCCACCCTCAGGTGCTCAAGTCCGTCGATGCCACTGGGGTCAGCCTCAACGCTGCCACAGGCCTGGCAGGTGGGGGGCCGTGCAGTGTGCATCTTGGGGAGAATCTGGGGGATTCTGTCCTCCGCTTGAGGAGGGCCAGGGACCCAGGCCAGCTCTGCCCAGCCACGTCTACCCACCCAGGGGTCCTCAAGTGCGTCCACAGACCTTCAAGGCCCTTTCCACCCACCCCTTCCCCGAGCCTGCCTTTCTGGCCCGGTCCCCAGCGTACCGCGTGTTCCTTCCTCGTGGGCTTTCCCCGATTCCCTCTCCCCGTTCCTTAACCTCCCCACTGCTGCCCTGGTCTCCGAGCCCCCACTGAACCCTGTGCCAGCCCCTCCTGTGCTGAGCATTTCCATCACGTCCTCTGTCACTTGCGGCCCTGGGGAGGGGCAAGGCAACCCCTTTTTACAGATGGAGAAACTGAGGCAAAAGAAGCAAGTGGTTGCCTGAGGTCACTCCATAAATTGAGGGAGCAGAGATTTGAACCCCTCACTGCTTGGCTAGGAAGCCCTCACCGCAAGCCAGCGCTCTCCACCTCCCTCCCCCGTCCTAACCGCCCCCTGGATCTCTGCAGGCAGGCATGCACTGTCTGCAGCGTCTCGCCCCGAGCTGCTGGGCTCGCTGTCCTTGGCACAGGTGGCTCGCCCACCAGCGGGCGTCCCCCAGCCGAGGGCCTGGGTGGGACAGGAGCACTGACAGGCCACTGCGGAGGTGGACGGGGCAGAGGGGGACTCTGTGCCATGGATGGTCGCCCGTCCCACCCAGCCCTTGGCATCCAAGGACCACTGGGGCCTGCAGAGACCTGGTCTCCTCGGAGGAGGGCTTCCAGAGTGCCTGCAGCCAAGAAGGGGGTCGATCACAGAGGACTTTCTGCTCTTATCCTTGGCTGCCCACAGGCTGCCCCAGACGGGCGGGGACCACCAAGCATCTACAGGCATCATCTGCCTCCCCCTCCCTCCCAGGGAGAGCCTGCCCTTCAGATGTCCCCTGTGCCAGGGCCCCCTGCTCCACAGGGCCCGGGAGAAGGGGACGGGCGAGAAGCAGGCAGTGCGTTTGGTGTGGCTGGTGACTAACACTCCTGGGCTCCTGCCAGCATGTCCGCCATGCAGTCCAAGGGGAGCCTGCGGGCTCCTTACCCCTGCACTGCCCGCCCTGTGCCCTGCTCACCCCTGCATCCCAGCCTCCTCCCACCTCTCCCTTTCCTTGGGCTCTGTACTCCAGGGCTGGGAGATCAAGAGAAGAGGGACCAGTGAGGCCCCAGCAAGGCTGCCAGGGGCATGGTGGGATGCTGGGAGCAAGAGCAGAGAATGAGATGAAAGCTGCCTGGGATGCGGGGGGGACAAAGTGTACCTCTGTCCGACTGGCCAGAAGGGATGGACGAGGGCCTGTGGAGGGGGGAACTCTAAGAGGTTTGGAGTGCCCGGGGCAGGAGAAGACAGTGTTAGGGCAGAGATGGCTAATGCCCCAGCCCCTGCCCTCTTGCCCCTCATTGTACCCCCTCCTTTTCCTAGGCCCTGGGTGAGACTGGTTCCTGGGCTTCGGCCCAGACAGGGCACGGACTTGGGCTTTGGAGTTCAAGGCCAGAGACCCGGTAGTGGTACCCATCCATCTGTCCTGCCCGCATCAGACACCAGACCCCATTTCCACAGCTTCCCAACCTCTGGCGGCTTTCGGGGGGACGTGGTGAGAAGCAGGTGGCTCATGGTGGTGCAGTGCGGGCTTGGGGGTGGGGGTGCCTTCTCCCCTTGATCTTCCCCCCTGATCCCCTCTGACTCCCTCAAGATCTGCTCCCTCCAGGGCTTGGGGGTGCGGCTGGGCCTTTCTCCGTGGCCTGTGCTCCCACCATCACCCCTGACTTCACTGGTATCTCAGCTGTACCCCGCAAAGGCCCTGTTGAACCCCAGATCTCAGAGACCCTTGGCCCTAAGGTACCTGAAGAGAGGCCCAGCCTCTGGGTGATCACAGGCCCTCCCCCAACAGCAGACAAGCAGATACCATGGGGCCAAGACCCCCATCAGCCCAGAGCCCCTCACTCCACTGCCAGCCGCCCCCAGGAGGCCTTGGGGGAGGGGAAACCTGAGCCCCTGCCCCCAGTCCTGTAGAGAAATAGCTGCAGGCCCCAGGGGTCTCACAGCTGCCCAGAATCCTCAGTCTGAGGACGCCGGGCTCTGCCATCTGCTCTGATCCTGCCCAGCCCACTGCCCAAGGTCCCCATTCACGTCCAGAGGTGGAGGGACTCGGGGAACAGATCCGGTCGCGTCCCCCTCTGCCTTTCCCTACCAGGCTTGGTTATCGCGACCGAGCCGCCCAGTCTGGCCACTTGTTGTCGCCACTACCTCCCCGGCTGCCTTCCCGGCGCTCGGGGCTTGGGGTCCCCGCAGGGCTGTGGGGAAAGGGCTACGGGCCCCGCAACAGGGGCTGGGGGCCGCCCGGCAGCCGGCAGGAGCAGGGCAGGTGCCCGCTCCCCTTCTCTGGTTGCCCGAGCAGATTGGATTTTAAAAGCGACACGAGCGGAATGTCAATGCGAGTGCAGAGCCGCGGGCGGGCGCCGCCGAGGGGATCAGGATGCGGGCGCTCCCGGGGCCGGCGCTGGGGGGGCGGGTGCCTAGCTCAGACCCCCAACCCAATCCGCTGCGTTGCCGCACCGTCACCGCGGACTGCGCGGCCCCGTGACCCCGCTGCGGGGCCCGGCAAGTTTCCGCAGCGCGGGGGACCACGCGGCGGAGGCTGGGCCGGCCCTTCGCCTTCGCGACCCCCCACCGCGGCGCCCAGGGGTGCGACCTGGTCTGGCCTCCCCGCGCAGCTGTTCGCTGGAGCGCCCAGCTGGCAGGCGGCACCCGCAGACAGCCCCCAGCCCCTGCGCCCTTACTCCCGCGTTTCACCTGGGCGCACAGGTAGGGGGGCTGGCGGCGGGGTCCCGGCGGGGCACTCACCTTCCAGCTCGTCCTCGGGGATGTCCACAGGGCGCTGTTCCGACAGCAGGTTGGGGACGGTGTAGATGCCCCGGTACATCAACGCCGCCGTCACCGGGTGGAACGGCATCTTGAAGGCTCCGCGCCCGCCCGCCCGCCGCAAACTTTGAGGTCGGGGCTCATGGGCCGGCGGCGGCCCCGGGGGCGGCTGGAGCGGGCGCGGCGCGCGGCTGCGGAGGGCGGCGCGGCGGGGGGCGCCCCTCCGAGGGCCTAGCGCCCCCGCGCCCCGGGCCGCCGGTCCATGCCGCCCCCTCCCTCGTTGGGCTCCCGGCCGGGGCCCCGCGGGGGCCGCGGGGGCGGCGCCGCTCGGGCCTCTCCGCTCGGGCCGCTGCGCGCTGCGCCCGCCGCTGCCGCTCCTCGGTGCCCCGCGCGCTCCGCGCTGCGCGCTGCTGGCCGCCCGCTCGTCCGCTCGCCGGCGCGGCCGCCCGGCCCGCCGCTCCGGCTCTCGCCACCTCCCCTGCTCGCTCGCTCGCTCGCTCGCTCCGTGTCGCGCTGGCTGCGCTCCCCGCCTCCCCCGCCCGCCGCTCGCCCGCCCCCTCCGCGCTTCCCCACACCCCCCCCCCGCCCGCCCCTTCCCGCCGCCGGCCCCTGCGTGGCCGCCCGAGTCCGCCGGGGGTTCCTTCACCCCTTTGGCCCGGGCTCCTCTTTCTCCCTACGGAGGCTCAGTCGCCCACCCCCACCCCAATACAAACCAAGTCCGCAGCCACCCGGATTAAATTAAGATGGGGTGGGGTGGGGTGGGGGTGGGGCCCTTCCTTCCAGCCCCTTGGCTGGCCCCCACCTGCCTCCAACAGACAGCAGGGAGCCGAGGACCAGATACCAGGCAGCCAGCGGAGGTCTGCCCCGCCCTTGCCCCTGAGTCCTCGAAGAGAATCACACAGTGTTGGCGCCAGGAGAGGCTCCAGAGAGGGGAAACTGAGTCCGAGGAAGAAGGGCGTTGACCAAGGTCACGGGGCAGGGCCGGCTGGCAGGAGCTGGGGATAGGTATTGGGCAGTCTTCCCCTGCTCTGTGGTTGAGACCTCGCCCCTGACCTTGCGCCCCCCCCCCCCCCCAGCAGTGGAACCCCAGTCCTGGCTCCTTCCCAGATGCTCACCAGCACTCAGCCTGTAGAGAAGGAGCCAGGCGGGGAGGCCGTGGGGGGACGGAGGTGGCTGGGAGCCTGTGGGGACTGCTCTGAGGGCTGTGAGTTCACTTGGCTCCAGGTTAGACCCCGGCTTATGCAGGGCTGTCCCAGGCCCCAGGGCACACGTGCCTGTGGAGTGAGGGGGCAGCTCGTGTGTGTGCATGTCACACCCTGTTATCCACCAGGGTGTGTATGTGTGTTTTCAGGTCCACATGGAGATGGTCGTGTGCTGGGAGGGTGTGCGGCCACCTGTGTGTGTGAGCTGGGAGATGAGGGCAAGAGCCTGTGGGCAGGTGGGGGACAGTGTGCAGCCTTTGGGTGCGGGCCTGTGTTCACAGATGTCCATGCATCTTTACAGGGCAGGGCTTGGCCCCCAGGCCTCACCATGGCCCCAGATGCAGACCCTGCCCCTGTTGTTCTGTTGCTCAGTCGTGTCCGACTCTTTGCGACCCCATGGACTGTAGCACGCCGGGCTTCCCTGTCCTTCACTATCTCCTGGAGTTTGCTCAGATTCATGTCCAGTGAGTCAATGATGCCATCCAACCATCTCATCCTCTGTCATCCCCTTCTCCTCCTGCCCTCAATCTTTCCCAGCATCAGGGTCTTTTCCAGTGAGTCGGCTCTTTGCATCAGGTGGCCAGAGTATTGGAGCTTCAGCTTCAGCATCAGTCCTTCCATAGAGGCCCCACTGGAGCCACCTCCCTCCCCTCTTTGGTCCAATCAGCCTTTGGCCCCAGGGGGAAAGCTGATTGCCATGGCCCTGCCGGCCCTGCCCTCCCCAGGCTGATTACATTTTACTGCTTTTTGTCGCTGATTAATCACAGCCTGGGAAGAGGGGCTCAGGGAGAGATGCCAACCCTGGCTGAGCTGGGCCGGGCCAGGCCTGGGCCCCAGCACTTCTCGCGCCTGGCTGTGGACAAGGCTCCCAGGAGCATCTGCAGCCTGCAGAGGAGCCAGGCTGGACCGCAGCTCTTGGTCTGTCTTCCCAGCCTCTGTGGGCCAGCGGGCACCCTTTAGGACCTGGGGCTGGGGGTGTGAGAGTCTTCAGAAAAGCCCCAGCTGAAGCCCTCTTCGTCCACCTGTCCCGGGTCTGACATCCCACCCTTATAGCCGAATGGTTTGCGCTCCCTCGGTTCTTCTGCTGGAGCAGAGGAACAGGGAAGAAAGAGCCCGGCTCTCGGAGCCAGACAGACCAGGGGCTGCCGCATCTACCAGTCAGTCATCTCGTTTAACCTCCTGGGGCCTCAGTTTCCCTTGTGAAGTGAGGGTGGCAGTGCTACCCCTGAGCAGTGGTGAGGATGGGGAGACATATTAACATATGAGAGGTGCCTGGCTGGGCCTCCCTGTGTCTCTGAGGAGTTTCCTATTAGCATGAAAACTCCCCCCACCCCTGCACCCCGAGCTATACGAAATAATAATAATTAGAGCTTCGACTTACTGACTGGGAGGGTGAGTGGCAGCGGCTCACTCCTTTGGTGTCTACTGAGCGACCAGCTGGCTCCTCGGGACCCCCCGCGCTGAGGCAGAGTGGGCCGGAGCCTGCCGAGGGGCTGGTGGGAAATGTGGCTCCTGGTGACTTTCCAAGAGGCTGTCACAGGGCATGTTGGTGCCGGCCTGACAGAGCTCCCACTGCATCCCTCCTGACTCCCAGGCCAAGAAGCTTCCAAGAAGCTTAGGGACGGGCAGAAGCAGTCCCTAAGTAAATCAAACAAAAACCAAGTGGGTGGGCCTGCCCTGAACTACCTGCGGGTCTGCGCTGAGGGATGGTGTGGGTGTCCTCTGGAGACATGGGCCTCCCTCCAGGCCTCAGCCTTGGTCTGTGACCATCCCTTGGCCAGGCTGCTCCCTGGGGCAGGATCCCACGAGGCTAAAGGGACAGGACTCACCTGGTGTATAGCAGCAAGGGATTATAGCCGCGAGGTTGTGGAGCACCCCACTGCCAGCGTCATCCCTGACCTCAGGCCAGCCGCTGTCCTCTCCCCTGGTGCAAAGTCACGGCCCGTGGAGCCGGCTGTGTGTCCAGGGAGTCTTCCACATGCTGCCAGCTGCACCTGGGCTACACTTTGGCTGTGCCTAGGACCTGCACAGAGTCCTCTAAGACTCTGAAGGCAGTTTGGCCATGCCCCCAACTCATGGTCAAGGGCACCCCCATTCAGGGAGCCCAAGGGACCAGGTTGGGTCATGCTGGGGTGGCAGGGCTGGGATTCAAGTCCAAGGCAGGAGCTGAGTAGGGATGCGATGGGGAGTCAGGCTTTGGGTCATCTGCTCTCTCTGCCCTTCCAGGCTCAGAGGAAAGCTGCCTCCTTCAGGAAGCTTCCTCGACCTTCTCGGCCTTTTGTGGGGCAGCCCCTGGGTGCCAGGTCCTGCGAGCAAGCCAGGCTGGGAGTCAGAGGATGAGGGAGCGGCTTGTCCAGGGGGCTCAGAGAGCAAGTGCCCGAGGACAAAGTTCACTGCCTGCTGAAAGGCAGGTGCGGTGATGGGGGTGGGGGGAGGAGGGGTGTTTTGCAGAGGAAGATCATGGGAACAGGGCGGGGGGCAGGCAGTGCCAAGAGCAGTAAGAGCTCCACATGGAGACCCTGGAGCTGGACCTGTGCCTCTGAGCCTCAGCTTACACACCTGTTAAGTGGGAGCACAGCCAGCCCCCAGAGTGAGTGCCTAGATCCCGGGTGCTGAACATGGTGGCTGAGGATGGAACATGGTGGCTCTTGCTCCAAGCCAAAGGAACTCCAGGAGGAGGAGCCAGGGTGGGCAGGGGCTCAGACATGTGAGAGGACCACGCCCCCACTCAGCTCTGGAGGGCAGGATCCGGGGGTCTGCACCCCCTAGATCTGAGGGCCTGATCCAGGGCTAGGCTGGGCTTCGGAAGGTGGCAGGGGCTGGGCGACGATCTGCGTAAAGGATGAATGAGAGGATGAATGAATGAACGAGCGATCGCACGCCAGCCCACCCGCCCTTCGGCGCTGCAGCCCCGTCCTCTCCTCTGCACGTCACGGGGGAGCAGATGGCGAGATCGCAGGGTGTGAATTGTGTCTGTCGCTCCCCCATCTGGGGAAGGTGCCACTGTCATCACACCGCACTCCCTGGGGTGCTACCCAGAGACTCGTGGGCCCTCCAGAGAGGAGTCTCCAGGGACTTCCCCCACTAGTCCTTGGCTCAGCGTCCTGGAGACCCTGGGAGAGATGACCCCTCCCCCGCCCCCCAGGACTCTGGAAGGATCCACCAGGCAGGGAGGCAAGATGAGAGAAGTGGGGGCTTCCCCATGCAGAAGCTGGAGGCTTCCCCTGCCAACCAGGAGACTGCAGCCCTCTCCTCTCAAAGCCGGCATGCTCCCCAGCATCCTGTCTCCACCCACATTCAGCACCAGGGAGAGCTCCACCACACGGGGTGGAGCTGTTCGGGGATCTGGGAGGCCCTGAAGAGATATGAACCCGTTGTCCAGGGCAGGATATCAAAGTGGATGGAGGGCAAGCATCGTGTGCAGGGTTTTGCCTGGACCGCTGACCACAGCCCTGCCCAAACTCAGGACCTGCTGGGGGACGCTGGTCGGGGAGGGGCACTCCAGGGAGGCCAGAGGCTCTGGCCTCTGCTCCTTGGCTAGGGAACAATATTGTTCCAAGAACCCGCTGGGGACAGTGTGTAGAGGTGAATAAAATATTCATCGTCCGGGCAAACTCACACGGTCACTTAATGAATAATGGAATTTGTAGACCTGCAGAGGCACACGGCGCGAGCAGGCCTGGGCCCAGAGGCCCCTGTCTGCTCTGATCCTGCCTTGCCCTGGGCACGCTCTGCGAGCCCCCAGAGGCCAGCTCCTGCAGGTGACAAAGGTGTATAGGACAGAGCAGGAGGCAGAGTCCATGAGAGGGAAACAGGGTGGAAGGGACAGGTCTTTAAAACTGTTGCTTCCTGAGATCAGCTCGATGATGGAAAAAAGAGGACTGGACTTGGAGTCCGGTGTGGCTGGGGTGAAACTTGGCTGCCGTTCTGGGCCCGGGGTATGACACCCCGCTGTGCCCTGGTCCTGGCACACACCGTGCTGGGACATGCTGAGAGGCTGGACCCTGAGAGCCTCCCTTTCCAGCTGTTACACCCCTCTGAGCCCAGGAGAAGTCTGAGAGGCAGAGGGAGGCATGGCCACAGGAGCAGAGAAGCTTCTAGTCCTTGGGACTGGGTTTGATGTCAAAAGCTGCAAAAACCTGGCTGGGGAGAGACGGACACAGGCACTTCCCCCCACCTCACTCTCCCCCAGAGTCTGCTTGGCTGGGCCCTGGGCGAGGGTACTTTATTTAGTTTTTTAAAATATTTCTTTCTTTATTTGACCATGCCGGGTCTTAGTTGCAGCATGTGGAATCTATTCCATGACCAGGGATTGACCCCGGGCCGTCTGCATTGGGAGAGTGGAGTCTTAGCCACTGGCAAGACCTCCAGGGAAGGCCAAGGGAATGCTCTTAAAAAGCTTCCCAGGAGCTTCCAAGAGTGAGAACTCTAGCTCTTAGAGCTCTTAGAGCTCCACGGAGGAAGGTCTGGTCTGGGAAACTGAGTGTGGGCAGGGGCCAGAGGAATTGGATGATGTCCCTGCCCAGGATGGGACAGCACTCCTGCCCCTGGTCCCCTTGGGCTGTGGTCTCCCCCTTGGGGCAGGCTGCTGGCTGGCTGGGGCATCAGGGGCCCCGCCCCCGCTCCAGGCCCGCTTCCTGAGTGACAGCTGTGGCAGCTGGCGGGAGACAGGCACGAGGCCGCTCCTAATTGCTCTGGGCTCCCAGATCCCTGCCTCAGTCTGCTGCCTCTGATGAGACGCTAGACCGATCTGCCCAGGGCGGCCGCTCCTCTAGAAGAGACCCCACGTCTGGCCGGCCTGGGCATCGGCCCTGTGGTGGGGGAGGGGGGAGAAGGAGGCTGCCCCTCCTTGCAGGGTGTGGCCACCTCTGGACAGGGTGAGGGCCTTTCTGCTTTTCTTGGTGTGACATTAAAGAGCTTGTGTGTCAGCTTCCGTTTGCATGAGGGGATGTTCAAACAGTGAAATGGCCAACACTGTGGGTGGGCTCTGTGGCCTCACGTGGCACACCCTGCCCCTGCCAGGGGGCTGTGACCTGTCCTCTGGGATCAGACCCGAGAGAGAGAGAGAGACAGTGTGACCTCGGGCCAGCTGTTGGGAATAAGGGCAGCTGCATCCCAGGACGAACACGGAAGGAAGATGGGGTGGGTGGCACGGAGCCGGGGTCCAAGGCAGTGCACACAGGTTCGCTCTTACCGCTCCGCTGATGTCGCAGCGCTGCTGGGACCAGCAGCGTTTAGCATACCTCCCAGGCTGAGTTCTCGGGCTGGCGCCTGCCTCCCTGTCTCCAGCTGCCCCGGGCCCATCCCACCACCCCACCCCCACCCCAGCCCCTGCCCCTCTCCTATTGCAGAAGCACCTCCAGAGCCAGGGCTGGACATCAGAAGACTGAGCCCTCTGGTTTCCCAACGGGGTTCTCAGATCCTGACGTCTCAAATTCTTTCTCAGGAGAACCAGATTCATTCCCCAACTTCAGTCATCCAGCCCAGCGTTTATGCTTCTCCATGTGTGAGCTGGGGGCTTCCCCGGTGGCTCAGCTGGTAAAGAAGCCGCCTGCCAATGCAGAAGAGGCAAGAGACAAGGGTTCGATTCCTGGGTCGGGAAGATCCCCTGGTGGAGGGCATGGCAACCCACTCCAGGATTCTTGCCTGGGAAATCCCATGGACAGAGGAGCCTGGTGGGCTATAGTCTATGGGGTCGCAAAGACTTGGACACAACTAAAATGCATGCCACGACACGCGTGTGTGAGCTGCTGCCTCCACCTACCACCATGTGGCCTGGGTGGTATGTGCTTGCAGCCTGTGCTTGCATACCTCCAGGGACAGGGAGCTCACTCACCCTCACCCCCCAGGCAGGGCCAGCACGCGCCTGTTCCCTGGGCCCTGGCTTTGTGCTCCAAGATCTCCCCTGTGCTGAGACAAGACACTGAGGCCCCTGCCACAAGAAGCCCCTGCTTGTCACCTGGGAGATGGACTGTACTGATCTGTGAGCAGCTCATCAGATAGCGGGGACGTGGTGTGAGGAGGGTACCTCGAGGCTGGGGGCAGAGGGCACCGCGGAAGCAGAGAGAGGAGCCGGGGTTGGGGGGCCAGGCTTCACAGGAGTGCTTCTGGCCCTTCCTCCTGGAACTCAGCCGTGCAGGTTGGCCTGGTGCTGAGACGCTGGGCCGTGAAACAGGGAGTCTGACGAGGGGACCGTGGGGGAACGCCCAGGCTGGAGGCACTGCCCAGACAGAGGCTGGGTTTGCACAAGTCCCTCCTCCCCTGGCCACTTCCAGTTCCGTTGGGAACTGGGCTGTGATCTTTTTGGAGTCCCTGATGTTGGGGGATAGGACGGGGGGCAGTGCACCAGGACACTGGGGGTGGTGGGTGCCAGGACTTCCTTCTGAGCTGCTGAGTTAGGCCTGCAGCCCTGGCCCCGGCCAGTGCCCTGCTCGAGGGCCCGCTAATGGGCCTCTGTGGCCCGAAGTGCCCCGGTCGTGTCGAGCCTAAGCGATGATAAAATCGACAGCAGTTTAATTGGTAATTTTAATCCTGGACAGAGGAGTAATGGCGTTACTAATTGGATCGTTAGAGATCTGTGCTTTATGGCTATGTAATTAGAGGATCTGTGGGGGGTTGGGGTGAACTGGGGTGGGCCAGGGGCAGGGAGCATCCGTCCCTGGCTGGGGCTCGGTCACCACTGGGACCTCTTGCTCTTCTTTGGCTCATCCTGAGCAGGGCTCCTGGGGCAGCTGAGTGGGGTGGGGGGGTGCTGGCCAGGGTCTGTGCGTGCCCCTCCCAGACCTGGGGTTCCACCGAGTCGAGAGGAGAGGAGGATCCTCCAAGCTCAAAGCTCAGTTCCCTGTGGACGGGGTGGAGTGGCTCCATTGAGCCCAGCCCCTCCCTGGGCTCCCAGGGCTGTGGGTGGGGGAGAGAATCACGAAGTGTCTGCATTTTAGACTAGAAAGAGTTCTCGGTCCTCTGGCCCTGCTCACTTCACAGGTGGGGAAACCGAGAGCCAGGGATGGGAGGGGATAGCCTCGTGTGTGCGTCTGAGACTCACCGGCCCTGGCCTCCAGCATTTGGTGGCTTTTCTCACCCTGTCACCCTGCTTCTGTGTGAAGGGACAGGTGGGCTGACAACCAGAGCATGGAGGGGGGCCCGGGGGGTCCAGCACCACCCCAGGCACTGGGGGCAGAGTGGAGTGTCCTTTGGGTTGAGTTAACAAGAGGCTCCATTGATTTCTGGCCTTCAAAAAATATTTGCTGGATTAATTAGTGAAGGAAAGAAAAAGGAGGGAAGCAGGACAGGTAGCCCGTAGACAGAGGGCCTCTATCAAATGCCCCTCCCACTGGTCCCCTAAGCAAGCCCGGGTCGCTCTCTTGACCTAGGCGTGGTTCCCCCGCCAGCCTTCCAACAGCATCCACCTTCTCTTGAAGCAGCCCAGGGTGCCTCTCTCTGCGCCTCTCTGCCCTCCACTTTCCCCCTTGCTCACCTCCTCCTGCTGCCTCAGGGCCTTTGCACTTGCTCTGTTGTCTGCCAGAAACGCTGTCTCCCTAGACACCGTCACTGCTCACTCCTTCAGGTCTTTACTCAAAAGCCACCTTCCTGATGGGCTTTCCTTGGCCACACCGTGCTTAAAAAGAAAACACACACAGACAAGCCACACCTGTTCTCCCACGGTCCTGCTTTACCACCCTGGCCTGCCCCTGCGCCCTGGGCTCCAAGAGTAGGTGGATGCCATTGGAAGGCTGGCGGGGGAACCACGCCTAGGTCAAGAGAGTGACCAGGGCTTGCTTAGGGGGCCAGTGGGAGGGGCGTTTGATAGAGGCCCTGTCTGTGGTCTACCACAACCTAACACACCGTGGACTTTCTGTCCTTGCCTGTTGCTGGATTTGTTGGAGGTCGCATACCAGTGCTGTGACATAGAGCAGATGCTCATACAGGGTTGTTGAATGAATGAGTCAATGAATGAATGAGGGAATGAATGAATGCAGAATTGGAGGCTCCGTACAGAGGCAGCCCTGGGAGGTGAGGGCAGGAGGTGTGGGGGTGTGTGGGTTGAGGGGAGCAGGAAGCTAACGTGAGGTAGGGTGGTGACTGAGGACCACCCCCGCCAAGTGTGAGCCTTCCCGCTGCCCCGCTCCAGCATGGCTCCATCAGGAGACAGTGACCTCCATCAGCAAATTACTCGGCAGGTGGGGGCCGGGAAGACAAGAGTCTTTGTCCTCCTGCCAAGAGCTCCACCGACCAAGTGCCAAGTGCCCTCCGCTTGTGGGCCATCCGCCGACCCACACTCCGCTTGAGGTCACCCCGTGGCCCACAACTGCCTCCTGTGTTCCCCCCAACACACAGGGAGTGGCTATCTCCCGGGGTGGGCTTTGGGACTCCAAGGAGACCCCTCCTCTGCTGGCCCCAGCTCCCTGTTCACAGGCAGGAGTGGGCGCCTGAAATCCCACCCTCAGCCCCAGGGTGGGTCCCACCGGGGCGGGCGCCGGCCCACCCGCCTGGCTGGGCTGCCTCAGGCTTCGTGGTTGGGTGATGTATGGCCCGCTGGCCCTGCCAGGAAGTGACAGCGGATGGATGGGCAGCGATGGGCAGCGCCAGGGGGGGGTGGGCTTGGAGCCAGGAGCGGGAGCAGGGAGGTGCCTGGCTCTGGAGAAAGCGGTTCCCGGAACACCGCCCTCCCTGACCGCCGGCAGGACAGGGAGCAGTCTTTTGCCCGGCTCCCACACCATGGCCCTCAGGAAGGCCAAGTGCGGGGACCCGGGGGCGGGGTGGGCCCTAGGCTCCCCGTGGCATCTCTCCAGGCCTCAGTTTCCTCATCTGAAATGGCAACGAAGCGCCCACTGGGAGGGGGCCGGATGGCTTGCGAAGATGCTCAGCACACACAGACCCCGGGGTGTTCCAGCCCCCAAGCATCTCAGGCCTGGAGCTGGGCCAGGGAGGGGCCATCCCCTCCTGTATCTGCTTCCTCTTCCCTGTATCTCCGCTAACCCCCCCTCCCACCCTTTGGGAGAATCGCCCAGCCAGAGACGGGCAAGACCTTGGCAGATTTCTAGTCCAACCTCCCTCCCAATTTTCCAGACGGGAAAACAGAGGTCTTGAGGGAGGCAGGACTGGCCCGAGGTCAGGTGGGAAGGCTTGGGAGACCCCCTTGTGGTGATTTCTGAAAGAAGCCGCCTCTCCACCCTGGGAGGGCGGGGTACGGGGGGCGCTGGTGCGGCCGCCCTGCAGGTTGGGGGAGGACGGCAGGATGGCCCTGGGCACGGGGAAGGGGCCGGTCGGCCGGAGTGGTGGCTGAGCCGAGTCAGGATGCGCCAGACGCCTCCGTGGGATCTGTCTGCGTCCAAGGAGACCAGGACAGCGGGCGGGCGGACGGCGTGTCCTTGCTGGCTGGGCCTGGAGGAGGGCCGCGGAGTGGGGGGGTCATTCTGGGAATCAGGCTGCCTGTGGGGCCGGGCGGCCTCTCCCGGCATCTGCTCACCTGCCCCGCTCCCCAGAGGAGCCCGGACTCCACATGGAGCTCCTGCTGGCTGTGGGCACGGGACACAGATGTATGTGGATGGGGCTGGTGGGTGCCTGAGAGGTGGGCGAGGGTGTGTGCAGCTGTGGCCAAGTGTGTGCACACATGTGGGCCGGGGTGGATAGGTCTGAGCGCCCGGGACCCCAGAGCCCAGGGCTGGACCCACATTGCTTGGCATGTGTGGGCAGGCATGGATGAGACATGGGCACGCACAGGTGGGCCCCGGGAGAGACAGGCGCTCACTCAGTACCCACCAGGCCCCACGTGGCGCGGCCTCAGCTTTGCTCCAGAGGACCTGCTGTCAAATGGGGAAACGGAGGGCAGCAGCCTGCCTCGGCACCCCCACGCGGGGCTCCTGCCTGTAAATCCAGGAGAACCAGCCCTGCCCCGTCCTTCTCACAACATGGGGCTCAGACAAGTGTCCCCCTGCCCCCCAGGGACAGAGACAAGGATGGGCCCCAGGGAAAAGCACTGTGACAGATCACGGCAACGTTCTGGAATACAAGTCTTGCTGTGGCCTTGTTCCTCTGAGCAGGGGCAGGGCATGGCCATGGAATTCCGCAGTTGGATGTGGGCTCTGAGATCACCCAGGGAGCCCCAGCCACTACGTTGGGGTGGGGACCCGTAGAGATGAGGCAGCCCCCACTGGAGGGTCTCGTCCCCTCTCCGAGCCTCTGTTTCATCATCTGTAGAACAGAGACCCCCCCCCCCCGCCGCCAGTCCCTGCTGGAGGGCTGCAGACACAAGGTCATCTCAGGGACGAGGCAGTGGTCCCTCCACGTGCTCCTGCCGCACTGGGAGGGGAGGGATGAGCTGGGGGCTGGGGAGGAGGGGGCTGAGTGATCTGAGGCAGGGAGGCAGGACTTCCAGTTCAGTTAGTAAAGGGATTTGTCATTTTAATGATGTGATATTTCTTGCCCGGCTCCTGTCCGCGGCAGCACCAAGGGGCCAGCTGCCTCCCCGAGTGAGGCGGCGGCGGAGGCTGCTCTCAGACTCCCTCGGCCGGCCGGGCTGGGGCCGTGGTCAAGGCTTGGATGCCAGGGCTGGTGCGGGGTGGGGTGGTGGTGCCAGTGGCCCCCACGCAGCGTCACCCCCAGCCCGGCCCTGCCGCCCCCTCATGTGACCTTGGGCTAGTGGTGCCCGGTCTCCAAGGCTTGGTTTCCTCACCTAGAAAGTGGGGCTCATACCATCACCCCCGCCCCCGGCTTCTGCTGCTGACCCGCTGTCGGCTCTAGAATCTTTCACTCCCTCCCCTTGTGGCCCCCTCCAGTCCCACCTGCCTGCAGACCCTGAGCAGGCCGCCCCCCACCCCCACCCCCACCCCCAGCAGCAGTGGGGTCTTCTTATTTTTCAGCTGTGTTCCAGCACACAGTGGGCCCCCCCGCTAAGCCTGTGTTTGTTGAATGACTGAATGAGGGGCCGTGGAGGGGCCCTGCTGACCCTGGAGCACAGCTGTGAGCGTGCGGATGGTCGGGCGGGCGGCCCATCCATCAGCCTGGCGCGGCGCCTGACCAGATGGAGCCGCGCCCCCGAGGAGGAGCTCCATCAGCTGGGGGTCAGTCCGTGGGTTGTGTGGGCATGTCGCACCTGCCCCCCATGGGACCTGCATCCATCGCGCCGTCCCTGGGATGCTGGGGTAGGGTGAGCAGGCAGCGGCCCCTCTGGGGGGGCGGGGGAGGGGCCTGGAGGAAGTCTGCAGCTCTCTTAGCACAGGGGAGACCAAGGCTGGGACAAGGGCGACAGAAATAAAGAGCGTGGACCCCGCAGCTAGACCAATCTGCGTTTGAGTGACAGCTCCGGGCCTCACTCGTGTGACCCTGGGCAGGTCTCTGGCCTCTGGGAGCCAAGCCCCTGGTCTGTAAAATGGGGATACGGCGGTGCCCCAGAAGAGGGGATTCATGCTGTGCCTGCTTTGTGCCCCTACCCCCCACCCCACCCCCTGGCCTGGTCCCCGGCGGAGGAGGGGGAAGAAGAGATGGTGGCTGCGAGTGGCAGGGCCACCGGATTCAGGCGGGACTGGCTAATCGTCTGGGCTGTCAGGGGGACGGAGACGTTGATGGATGCTCCTCTGGGCCAGAAGGGCTGTGGGAGGGGCTGGCTGAGTGATGACCAGGCCCCGTGGTAAGTACAGCTAGGCTGGCCGGACCAGCAGGGCCAGGGGGACATCATAGCCTGGAACCTCTCCCAGCCCCCACCCAGTTTGCTGAGAAGTTACCACCTCCCTCCTCCTCCTCCTTCGCATTTAAATTATCAAAACAAACGCTTTCTGAGCCATCAGAAAAAGAGACACAGATGTACATTTCACCTGAATTGCAAGGGCTGGCCGGGGCCCCAGGGAGTCGGGTTGAAGATCCTCACCCTGCAGGTGGGGGGCGCCCCACCCCACAGATGGGGGGCTGAGACTCATTCACTCAGCTACTGAGTACTGAGCACCCACAGGACTGAGCACCCAGGCCAGGCTCTGTGCTGGGCACCCAGGGCATCAGACGAGAAGGCTTCAGCTGCCTGACCGCCTGCCCCGGGCACTCTGGACGTTACGGGACAGGGCTTTGCACCCATCACGCTCGGTACTGGGAGTGTGGCGGGCAGACAGCATCCTGCCTGGCGCGTGCTTCCTGGCAGTGATGGCAGCCTCGGTGCCAGGCACAGTCTGCACTTGAAGTGCGTTCTCGTTTAGTCATCCAAGGCAGATGTCGGTGACCCCGTTTTCCAGCTTTGAAAACTGGAGCTCAAAGCGGGGGTGATCTGAGTTGCTTGGGGTCCCCCAGCTGGGAGGTGATGAGAGGTGCCTACATGCCCACCCCAGACCTTCGCTCGCTCCCCGGGGCCAGAGCCACACCTTTGCCCAGGGGGAGGCCCAAGGAGGAGCTGCCGGGTGGGGGGCTCACAAGTGAACCCCACACACTCCAAGAGCACCACGCTCAGCCTAGCCTCCCCTGCTGTGGGGGTGAAGGCCAGGATGGGCTCTCACCTCCCAGCATCCGACGGCACCCTGGACAGCCCCTCCCTCATATCCTGACCCCCACCTGGGCTTGTACTCACTGGGAGCCCCCTTAGGGGGCCGATGGCCACACCCAGCTCATTTGAGGGCAGAACAGCCCAGGCGTAGGTCGGATGGGGCTTGCACCCCAGCTCCGAGAAGTCAGGTGGCCTCTCTGAGCCTCACTCTGCCCACCCTGTCCCACAGTGGTGACAGCACAGGGCTCCCCAGGGGCCTTAAGATGCAGCCAGGACCAAAGTGGGCCCATGTGCAGGGTGGGGAGCATGGCCCTGCTGGGACCAGCGGTGCCAAGGCGTGCACGATCACTCTTGTTGTGACTCTCCCCCTCGGGCTCTGAGCAGGTGCTCGGGGGACCCTGTGGCCCTGACCCCAGACAGATGGGTCAGTGCTGGGGTCGGGGGGCTGGGCCTGCTCCCCTGAGGCAGGCAGCAGGGCTGGGACCACCCGAAGGAGCTGCGGGGCTGGGCGTGTAGAACTGTGCTGGGCCTGGCCTGTGCCGACCTGCCCAGTGAAGCAGAGCCGGCTCTAATGAAGTGGGCTAGCCCCGGGCCGGCACTGATTTCACGACTCGGTGGCCACTTCCCAGCCGGTAAATGTCACCGGAAAGAGGAGCTGTGGCCCCTGGCACAGACCCAGTCTCCGGAGGGATGGGGGTGGGCAGCCTGCTGGGGGTGGTCCAAGGATCCCCGTGGAATGCTGATAGCGGCATCGGGCTCCTGGACCCTCGGGGCCCCCCTCCAAGTCCCGGGGGCTGTGCCCAGGTTGCTCCAGTCACCCACTCAGAGACATGCGACCACCAGCCCCTCTCCTGTGTCAACCCAGGAAGCCCGAGCTCGGGGGCCCCAACTGGTCATATCCTGCCCCCCTCTCTTCACGGGGGGGCAGTTTGGGGTGGTCTGCCCAGGGCGCAGGAGCAAAGCCAAGGAAGGACCTTCCCCCGCCCTCGCGGCCCCTGCCGCCCTGAGCGGTCTCCTCCGACACCTGAGCCAGGACGAGCTAATAGTGAACAGCCATAACCACACAGCGGCAGGCCCCGCTTAATAAACTCTCTGTGGCAGGTGTCGGCTCAGACCTGGGATCCGCGATGGCCCTGCGCCTGGCTGGGAACTGGGTCCGTCCCACGGAAGACAGATGTGGGGCTCCGGAGGCCAAGCCCTCCCCTCCGAGCAGCGCCGCCCCCCACCCAGCCCTGCGGGGCCACCCCCCGTCCTCATGGGACCCTTCTCTGCCTGGCCAGGGGAGATGGTGCCCGGCCCTTCCTGTCTGCCCCGCGCCTCCCTCCCGTCATCTGGGATCAGCAGGAGGCGGGAGGTGAGGCTGGGCGCCGGGGCGTGCGCTGCTTTCCCACTGCTCCCAGTGGACTCTCCGTCCGCCCCCTCCAGCTTCCTGGCCCACGGGAGCCGGAGCTGGGGAGAAGGGAGGCTCATCCCTTCCAGGCTTGAACCTGGGGAGGAACTGGGCTTTCCTGGAGGACTGGAAGCAAGAGGAGCAGGAGGCGGAGGAGGGGTGTCCCTGTGTACCCTCCCTTCCCCGTCGTCTGTCTCCTTCTGGAGCCTCCATCTCCAGGTCTGAGACCCGACCACCAAGCTCTGCCCACCCTTGACTCCACATTTCCTGCAAACACTCTTGATGTTGCATCGGTGACAGGATGAGACAGTGGATGATGCGGGCTCTGCGGGCAGAGAGGCAGACCCACCTGTCACGCCAGGACTCGTGTGTTGTCATCACGGCTGGGGCCCCTGGGCCCAGAGGGAGCCATCCCTGAGTCCTCCACATCTCCCGACCCCCTCCCCACCTAAGGAGCCCCTCGGGTCAGGCCCCAGCCCCTTGATCACTGCCTTGCTGGGCCTCTCAACCCGACATCCAGTACAGGCTGGTCGCGGCAGAGCTTGGCAGACAGGGATGCTGGGGTGGGGCTGCCCCTGGAGCCCGAGGGCCTCCTGGAGTGGGGAGTGGGGTGAGGGTGCGCGGCTCAGGGATGCCTGCTGGGGACATCATGTCCGCTCCATCTGAGAGCTGCTCCCCGCTCTCCCTTCTCAGCGTTTCCGGGGACCTTCCTACGTGGGGCAGGGAGCCCTGGTATCCCCAGCTGCTCCCCACTATTCCACGGGGAAAGCGGGGAGGAGAGAAAAGCCGTATTAATAAAAGAATAGGACGCTCGACGGCTGCCCAGCGTGTGCGCTCAGAATAGCAATGTGCTTTCTCAAGGCAAACAGAACTCCCCAGGTGTTAATGCAAATTCACTCCAGTTAAGATGAAAGAGGGTTGTTTCCCCTTTGCCGGCTAATATGAAGGACTTAATAGATTCTGCCTGAGGAACTCGGCTGGGAGCGGAAGGCTGGGGGAGGGACCTGGGCATGGGCAAAGAAGCTGGGGGTGGGGGGACCCCTAAGGGTTTTAGGGCAGAGCACCTGTCGCAGCAGGCCTGGCTGCAGCGCTGCCCCGGCCGCCACTGGGGCTGTCAGGAGCCAGACACGTGGCCGGAGACGGGGCGGGGCTAGGCCCCCTGCCCTTCACGCTAACAAGGGGACGGGCACCAGAACTGCCCACTCCCCAGTTTGTGCCAGAGGAGAGTGGGGCTGGGAGAGAGGGTGGGGTAAGGCAGGCTGACCCTGCGGGGTGCCTGGTTCAAGACCATAGCCCACCACCCCTAGACCCCTCTCCCCAGCCCTGCCCCATGGGACCCTGGGTCTGTCTTTATTCCACTCCCCGGAGGCAAAAGGGAGGTAAAAGAGACCAGCCTGTGGAATTCTTTTAGAAACACCCACATTCATAGATGCCTGCAACAGGAAGGGGCCTGGGTTCCTCTCATCCAAAACTTGACCCGCACAAGGGAGCCTAGAGAGTCGGGGACGGGACCTTCTGGGCCGCATGGCTGCAAGCAGAGAGCCGTTCTCGGGAGGCACAGGCTGGACCCTGACAGGCCAGGACAGGTGGCTCTGCCAGTCACGGCGCCTCCTGTCCCCCGGGGTCGGGGGAAACCCTTCTCCAGCCCAGACCACCCCGGAGCACTCCGCACACACGTCTCCCTGAGTCACCCTCCCCTGGGAACCATGCAGGGCCAGGCCAGGCCACTGCTGGGGAAGGCGGGAGCTTCAGAGGCCGGGCTGCGTGGTGGCCCAGGAAAGGCGGCTCTGGAGGAAGGGAGACTTCAGGGAGGTCCGGGGGGGAGGGTGGGTGGGAGAGAAGCTGTCCCTGTCCCCCCAGTTCTGGGTTTAACTCCATCTCCTGGGTAAATGGCACAGCAGGTTCCTACAAGAGGACACCCCCGCAGCCTTCTTCCCTTTTGTTTACTGACTTAATTCCTCCAGATCAAAGGCTGCCCCTTCCTCCCTGAGCAGGCAGGCGGGGGAATTACATTATTTATATTGAAAATGGGCAAGAACTCCACGGGGACTTCTTTCTCATGGCTGATAAGAGAAAATGAGGTCGCTGGATGCCCGTCGCTGCCCCCCCCACACCCCCCACACCGGCGTCTGCCGTGGGTGCCCACAGGCCCTGGGTGGGCTGCTCCAGGTGCTGGGCGGGCTGAGGGCTGCTCACCCTGAGCCTCCAGTGGATTATTGACCGGAGCAGCAGGTATTAATGTGACGAAGCCAGAACATCCTCTTCAGGCCGCCCCCAGCCTGGGTGATCTATCATCTCCCTGGGCTTTGCAGCTGGCACTGGGCAAACACAGCGAGGAGAGGGGCCAGATGCAGGTCATTAAGCCTCGGGTGCAGCTGGGCTGAGGGGCCCAGGCGGGGGCCACAGGGGGGCCCGGTCCCTCCTGGGCTGGGGTTTCCTCTGGGTCACCCACTGCCCTTTCCTCTGCTTCCTCCTGCAACTCCCCCCCATCCCCGCCCCATCCTCAAAGGAAGCCTCCAGAGAAAGAGTCACTGGGCTTAGAGCTTCCCGGATCAGCTCCCACAAACCCCAACAAAACTCCCTTTTCGATGAGGAAACTGCTGTGCCCAAAACTTAGGTAACTTGTCTCGACCACATGGCTGCTAAGTGGCTGAAACCCGGGTCTCCTCTGAGTTCCAGGTCAGGGGCTTGGAGCCCTCGGCCGTGTGGTGTCCCTTGGCCCTCCCCACGGTCGTGTGAAAGGGAAAGATGGCGCGATTCTTCGTGTGTATAGCTCCTGGTACTTGTAAGGAAACGGCAGTAGCACTACACCCCCACAATCCCCTTTCCCTTAGAAATCTGAGTATTTTTTGGGGGGGTCTCGTCTTCATGTTAGCCTGACAGTATCTCAGAGGTACCCAGAGGCGTCACTCCCAGCCCTCTCTGCAGAGGGGGAGCCAGGAGGCAGGGAGTGAGTATGCAGCAAGTGACCTCACCGGGAGGTGTCTCGATTTCTTTGGCTCAGAGGCAACGTGCCAGGTGCTATTTCTGGGGCTACTATGCCAGCGGGGAATAGGCATCAAGTGGGAACCGGGAGGGGACTCGGTGGGGTTCCTCTGTGAAGGCTCAGGTCCTGGCGATGCTCAGTGGCCCCGAGCCGGCTCCGGCCTCCCTAGCGGCGCCGGGATTGTGGCCGCAGCATCCTGCCATAATGCAGTAATGACAGGCTGCCAGGGAGCCCCGCCGCGGCCCGGGAGGGGAGAGGAGCCCTTGGCCTCCCTCTCAGCTGCCTGGGCTCTCTGAGAGGGAGATGACGGAGAACACGCAGATGGCTTGACTGTCTCTTCCCCAGACGTGCAAGAGAAATTGGATTAGACACGGTTGCAGCAACCTTCTCACCAATACCTTTCCCCCTGGAGTCCTGCTGCCAACTCGTCGTTACATCCGTGGGTGGCTCCCAACCTACTCCTCCCAAGCGAAGGCTTCTGGGGTGGCCAGCCCTGGGGATGGCTGCCAGGCACTCATCTCAGGCGAGGACCACACAGCAGGGTGAAGTGCTGGCAGGGATGCCAGAAGGAGCCACGCAGGGACCCCCGTGGGGCCCGGCTGCAAATGCCACAGTGAAACACCCGGATCCTGCAGCAGCTTCGGGTTTATAGCGCGGTCAAGACAAACGAAAAACGACAAAAAAAAAAGCAAAGGAGAATTCAACCTGTCTCCCTGGTTAATTCAAACCCCACTGAATGGTGATCTTGTCATCTGTGAGAGCATATTGTTATCTTTTGGGGTCAGGGGTTGGCTTAAAAAAAAAAAAAGGGAAAGATATTGTCTGGACAACTTCAGATGACTGGTATTTATAAGGTTCTTTCTGTAGCTTGGGACTAGGTAGGAAATCAGACTATTTCCAGTCACTGCAAATAACATACCCTACATTTAAGAAATGTGGCAGTTTCTGCACGCCTGAAACTAACATAACGTTGTAAATCAATTAACGTCAATGAAAAAAACAAACAGCAATTTCCTATTATTTATTGAACAAAAATAGTTGAATTAGTTACTAACTGTATACATTTAAAATGAACAAAATAGGAAGTGTTTAAAAACTTCATAACTCTCTAGCTTTACAACTTCATACATATCTTTCCTATATATATATATATATGTATGGCTTCCTTGGTAGCCCACCTGCAATGCAGGAGATCCTGGTTTAATTCTTGCGCCGGGAAGATCCACTGGAGAAGGGATAGGCTACCCACTCCAGTATCCTTGGGTTTCCCTGGTGACTCAGCTGGTAAAGAATCTGCCTGCAATGCGGGAGACCTGGGTTCAGTCCCTGGGTTGGGAAGATTCCCTGGAGAAGGGAACAGCTACCGACTCCAGTAATCTGGCCTGGAGAATTCCACAGACGGTATAGTCCATGGGGTTGCAAAGAGTCCAAAAACATGACTGAGTGACTTTAAACAAAAACCTCTAAGCTCTGTAGGGTAGTTCTCAACTCCAAGGGTGAATGGCACGTGGCCCTGTGACCACACGGGACCTCCTCTGTCCTGCAGGCAGCACCTGGGCCCCCAGGGACTTCACCTGACACCCACCACCCCCCTTCCAGAGCCGGAAACGGGGACCCCGGCAGCAGAGGTGCCTGGAGTGACCGTCCAGTGGGGCAGCCTAGTCTCCAGGTCTGGAACTGAGGGCAGGCAAGGGATGTGGGGAAGACACTGACACAGCCTGCTTCGTGGGAAGCACGAGGCGGGTGAGGTCAGGGGTGCTGCCATCAGCCCAGAAAAGGGGAGTCCTTTCCACACCGACATGAGGATAGGGCTGAGGACCTGGACATCAGTGGGGGCAGAGGCTCGTTTCCTCCTGGGGCCCCCAACGCCCCCCAGTGCAGGCCCTGGAGCCCAACGCCCCCCAGTGCAGGCGCTGGAGCGACGAGCAAACTGAGGCCCAAGACCAGCTTTTTACAGTTGAGAATTTTTATTAAAACAATCATTTAAATTACAACAGTCTGCCAGAATAGCAAATAGCCTTCCTGGTCCGGCCCTGACAGGAGGCCGCACGGGAGGGGGAGGGTGGTTTGATGTCTTTGAAAACCGATAGAGCTTCCCTGGAAGCCCAGAGGGGCCGGCCTGGCCCTGGGGCAGCGGGCGTCCCCCCACCAAGGCTGCCCACTCCGGGGGCCGCCGGGTCTCAGCCCTGTCAGCGGGCGACAGCGCTGTCGCCGGCTGTCAGCCTCAGGATGTGCTGTTCGGATTCGAAAGAGGAAGGAGAGGGAGAGAGAGAAGCCTGTCCCCAGGACTCAGAAGGCAGTCACTCACGAAGCGTTATGTAAGGCCGCGGGGGCCGTCCAGCAAGGGCAGCACACGGCAGAGCCCCCGGGGCCCAGGAGGGGCGGGAGCACGTCAGCGAGATGGTCCGCGTGCACCCGCCAAGGGCCGCCGGTGCAGCCTCGCCGAGGGTCACCGGCTCGGTGCTTCCGCCCAGCGCCCGTGAGGGGCGCTTCTAACCCAACGACCCCAGCAGGAGGTCAGGGGCTTCCTTAACTGGACAAGCCCTCAGCTCGTCCACTGACACATCACAGTCGCCTCCGCTGTGGGCGCGCACCCTGAGCACGGATGTCAGAGTCCTTCTTCCACTCGGGCTCAGGATCCTTCGGAGGGCCCCGTCCTCTCCGCCTGTCCATCTCCGGGAGGTACCCGCCTGCTCTCGTCCCCGAGGAAAACCGCGGTGTTCCAGCCGGCCCACTCCCCCCTCCCAGCCTGAGGCAGCTCCCCTATACGGCTCAGACGCCAGCCCGCTCCCCTGTGGCCACAGACTTCAGACAGACAAGCAGCAGTTAAATAATAACAATAACAACAACAAAAAAACCCACAAAGTCCGACAAGGTTTTTATAAATGACCACCATGCTCTGTGCCCACAGCCGCTGTTACAGACTAAATCTACAGGTCAGGGATGGACGGGTGGTGAGCCTGGGGAGACAGCCGAGCAGACGCTAGAGGATCCCCACCGGGAACCTGGTCTCAGGGTAAGAGGCCTTGGAGGGACAAGGGGAGACGGAGGGGAACCTCCCAGCCACAGCCGTTCATGCTTAGTGTTCAGAGTCCCACCCCGCACGTCCCGAGGGGCTGGCTTCCTGCGGGCAGGGCGGCCCGAGGCGCTGGTGGCCAGCCCAGGACAACCCCTAGGGCAGCTTGACCGTGGAATCTGGCGGGATCTCTGTGAGCATCTCAGTCTCTCAAAACCACTTAGGATGGCTGGAGACCACCTCTGCCCCCCGGGAAATCTCCTGGCCCTCACACATCTTGGCGTAGGAAGCGTCTTCTCACTGGAGGAGTGTTCCCTCCTGCCGCTCTGCACAAGAGCCCCGTGGGAAGGATGTAAACAGGCTGGTGGGTCCAGCAAGCCGTGGAAGGAGGAGGGGCGGGAGAGTGGCCGCAAACCAAGGACCGAGTGTGGGCCTTGGGGTGGGCACAGGGGTGGGTGGGGGTCATGTGCCAGCAGCTGCCGAGCACTGACTAAGCCTCCCCGCCCCCACCCGGCCCCGGGGTCAGCTGCACCCCTCCCCTCCACGGCCCAGGGAGAATGTAAAGTGAAGGCTCTTGGGAGACAAGGGCCGCAGGAAAGGAGGCCCAGGCACTGTCACGGGTCGGGGGCTGTGCCAGCGCGTGGCCAGGAGGAAGGATGGTTCAGATCGGCAAGACGGACCGTGGCCATGTCAGTGGCGCTGGGTGCTGGGGCCAGTGAGACATCCCTGCGGGGCCTCAAGAGCCCTGCAGAGACCTGGGTCGTGGCTGGACTGACTGGAGCGATGGGGAACCCCCTCAGGCCCCTGCACGTGCAGGAGAGCCACCAGCTGGAGAGGCCCACCCCGCCTATGCCTGCCTCTCAGGCCTGGGTCTGAGCGGGCAGGAGAGAGGCAGCGAGTGTTTCGCAGGGTGCAAGTTCCAGGTGCAGGCTTGGCTGGCCTCCCAGGCCCTCTGCCAGCAGCCAGCCCTTCACCACAGCTTAGGCCGGGTTTGCCCCGGGCGCAGCTACGTTCCCACTCCCCACCGCGGGTGGCCAGAGCACTGCCCCCCGGGGTGCCTGGGCCGAGCGCCCATCTCCTCCTGGCTCGTCGTGGCCGAGCTCTCCGATGACGTGGAGCAGGCGGGCCACTCTGGGCCACCTTCTCCCCACACCAGCTCCTCACCAGGGAAGGAGAGGAACGTTCTGGAACCCTGGGGGCAGGGCTGGGGGAGGGCACCAGCCTCTGGGTCTCCAGGGGGCTTGAGTACTCCCCTCCCTGAAGCTACTTCCCAGCAGGGGGGCCGGGGCAGTCAGCCGGGGCAGGGGAGGCGGGGACAGTAAGACACACACTCCAGGGTGCTTTGGACGAAGGAAGCATAGTATCCCACATCAGACGAGGAGAGACAAATACTTCTTTAAAAAACCTAAAGACTCAGGTCAGGAGAACTAGAACCCTACGAGAGAACCCTCTGCAGGGTCATAGTTCAAGGCAATTGCACATGAAAGGGCTGGGCTCTCCGCTCAGCCCGCTTCAGATGGCTCCCGCGGTGTCGGGCCCATCCCATCGGTGCTGTGGGCGGGCGGGCAGAAGCAGCTGATCCTGGGGTGGCCGGGTCACCTGCTAGAGCTCTTCAAAGAAGGCCACTCGGGACTTGGCACTCTGCAGGGTGAGCTGCAAGGAAGCAGAGAAGGTGGTGAAGGCGGGGCTGACTTCTTGCCCTTTCACAACAGGACACCCTCCTGCCTCGGGGACTAAGCTTGAAGCAGGTTTGGAAGGAAAGGGAACACGGCTCGAGAAGCCGGTGGTCAGCCCCAAGCAAGTTTCCAGAGTCGTCCAAGGACTCGAATTGGGAGGTGACCAGTGAGGACACGCCAGGAGGGAGGGAGGGCTGGCGGGCGGAAGGCCCTGGGGCATTTGGAGAGACTCCTCCATCCCCGTCTACAGGGTGCGCTGTCCACGCCAGGGCTCGAGGGCCAGCTCGGCAGCGCGGTCTCAGCCCTCAGGCCCCGGGCACGCCGCTGGGGCAAGGCGACGGGCCTCGGGTGGGGCAGGCCTGCGGCCCGTGAGGACCAGCTCGTCTCTTCTGCTCCCGGTTCCCCAGGGGACCCCAGAGCCGACTTGCCTGTGACCTGGCAGCTGACAGGGGGTTTCCATCCACAAACTGGGATGGAAGGCTCAGGCTTTCTAGGCGGGGCTGGTTCAGGCAGGGAGCGGGGAGCAGGTGGTGGTGGTGGTGGGGGGTGCTTTGGGCCTGAGGCCTTCCTTAGAGGCAGGAGCTCGGGGAAGGAGCAAGGGGAAGAGGCGGAAGGCAGGGGGAGGGGCTCCTGGCTGGCAGATAAGGTTTGCGACCTCTGGGGCTGCCAAACCTTGATTCCCCAACCCGGCAGGCCCCTTGCCAGGAGCTCCCCAAGCGGAAGCATCTGGCATGGGCACCCTCCCAGCGCCCGGCTCTGTTCCTGAAATCAACCGCGCCGCCGAGGCTGTGCGCGCCACGCCCAGCTCTGGGACTTTGCTGAGGAGAGTTTCCGGGGATGGGGACACACAGCACACACGGTCCGTCCACCTTCATACCCTTGAGCCACCAGCTTAGCACTGTGCAGTGGGAGCTCCACTTGTCGAGTGAGCAAAACTCAGGTGGTGACTGCAACGAATGGTGAGATGCGGGGGAAATTCGAGAGTTCCCCACCGGGCTGGAGAGGCCCAGGTGCTAATTCTCCATCACCAGCTCGCTGCGTGGCCTCAGGGGACACGCTTGACCTCTCTGAGCCCCCTTTCTCTGGAGTTCAACCATGGGGTCAGGCTAGATGGCCTGGCCCATTCCCTCATTCAGAGACCTCTGGCAGCCTCTGAATCCAAAGAGCTTGGCTCTCCGAAGGGCGGGGGAGGAAGGCTCCAACCCAACCACTTCACCATCAAAGATGCACAGCATCAGTGCACTCGAAATGAGACAGCTTGAGAGCCGGCTCTAAATCCTGCCAAATCTTTTGGCCTTGAAGTTCCCGACTAACAAGCTAAATGCAGGGAGGCATCTGAGCTGTTTCCTTCAGTGGAACCAATTTCTGAAGCCCTTTGGAAAGCCCAGCTCTAACAGGAATGTAGAGAGCTTTCATTTCTTTGCTGAGACGGAACTCCCTCTAGAAGGATGGGCTTCTCCCTAAACATAACAGAGGAGAAGGTCCGGGAAGGACACGTTTGGTGATAACAGGAACCAGGATGCGGAAAAAAGAGAGAGCCAGAGAGCTGCTGGGACAAAAATTGTCCTGGGAGAGAGTGAACCAAAAAGGGTGGAAGCCCGTGTACCACTCAGGTTCCTCCAACACACCCAGGGGACCTCAGGTCAGTTCCTCCAGGGACAGGGGACCCGCAGGAGACACGGCTTGCCACAGCCCTGCTTTCCACACACCGAGCCACTCACAGGCACAGCCAGACCGCCTGACCCAAAGCCCACCTGGGCTGCTGAGCTGCAGGGTGGTCCTGGTGGTCCATTCCTCACAGGGTGATCAGAAATGCCCGATGACACGCTATGGCTAGTGATACTAAGAGATCACGCCCCTCCTCCCCCAGCTCTGGCTCCTGGCCTTCCAGGGATCAGGGAGCAGGGCACAGCACAGGTTAGAAGGGGTGCAGGTGAAGAGGGGAGGCTCATAGCTGCTGAGGCGGGGCGAACAGATGCCCCCGAGGAGGGGGGCCTGGCCACTTCCCCGGGCGGGGAGCCCGGCCTGTGTGGGTCTCCGAGAGCCTTCTGCCCGTTTGTATGACGGTGGCGCCAAGAATTCCTGGATTGTCTACGCGAGCTGTGTGCCGGATGTCCCCTCGAGGTGCCAGCACCAGACTCCAGCTACTCAATCCAACGTGAGCTTGCCAGGAGGCGAAGCCCTCTTTGGGTGGGCAGCACGCATCCCTGGACCCCAGCCCACACTGACCTCTTATCTCGCAAGAGCAGCAGTTGAGCCCCAGTCCAAGGAGAGGTGCAAGGACAGACCCAACGCCCTGGCTGTGCGGAAGCAGGGAGGCACCGTGGATGCACGGCCTCGGCAAGAAGACAGTACTGTGGTCTCAGGGCTGCTGGACAGATGGGTGGGGCCGCCAGACAGAGGTGGCCGACGTGGCTGCTGACACCAAGGGCCCTGGGATTCTGGCCCTGGCCCACAGACAGACCTGCCCCCATCGCTCCCTCTTTCTGCACAGTTCGTGTAAATGTAAATCCTGTGTTAGTCGCTCAGATGCTCTTTGTGACCCCATGGACTGCAGCCCGCCAGGCTCCTCTGTCCGTGGGATTTCCCAGGCAAGAATACCGGAGTGGGTTGCCATTTCCTTCTCCAGGATCTTCCCCAACCAGGGACAGAACCCAGGTCTTCCACATTGCAGTGAAGATTCTTTACCGCCTGAGCCACCAGGGAAGCCATGGCGGTTCCAATTCCCACAGGAAGCCAGTCATCAGAGAAAAATCCCGCACGAGTGGCTGGACCCCTCCTGGTGGCCACGGCAGCCCCCGCCTGCCCCAACTCAGCAGCATCCTTCATCTCAAGCATCACTCCGTGATGGTGATCGTGCTAGAGAGCAGGGTGGGGAGGCCGGCAGGGGGAGGGTCTGCAGGGAGAAACCTGGGCTTCTTTCCTTCCCCTAGGGGGTCTGCCAGCCACGCTCCCGGCCCCTGGGCTTGAGATCACTCCCTTCACCTGTGGGATCCCTGACTGCCAGCTCTTTCTAGAAAGCTCCCTGATTGTCACACTGGCCGTGCAACCTCAGGCAGGATGCATTCCTAATCAAAGAGGAGAAGCCCTAGTGGAAACGGTATAGAGTTGGCCCTTCGTGGAGTGAACTGCCCCTGTGGTCGTCTCCGTAGAATCCTGGAGATGAGGTCACAGAGGCCGGGATTCCGGCCACCTTCTCACCCTCCAAAGTGTACAAGTCACTCAGTGTTGCATCCATCTTCCTGGCTCTCTGCACAGCAGGCAAGGGACCACACAGGAGATGATCCGCCCGAGGCCTTGCATCCTGCCGTGTTGCACGGGAGAGCCGAAGCTCGTGGTGATCCAGCAACATGTATCATCACCCACAGACGGACTGCTGTGGGGGGGTCAGCGCCTGCAGGACTGGGGCTGGGAGAGGACCCCCCATTTCAGTAGATGGAGGAGCAGAAAGGCCTGGGGACGTGGACAGACGAGTGGGGCCTCACATACACAGGCTGCCTCATCCAGGACCCACAGGGTCCGCTCCACCTTCTCTGAAGCCTTCTGAGGATGTGCGGCCTCAGCTGGTCCGCTCGCCGGCACCCCGAGGACGACAGAAGACCATGAACGTCTCCTCATCGGGCTCAGGGCTGACTGCTCCTCTTTTCCAGCTGTCTCCTAATCCCTGATTCAGATCAGCCGTGTGAATAATACAGGAGGAATTAAGTTCTCTCTCGACTGAACCGGCTGTTCAAGTCTGTCACCAATCCAAGGTCCATTCCAAGCAGACAAACTTCCTCTTCTCCACCGCTGTAGAGCTGGATGTGGTTTTTATCTTTGGGGTGTTTGTGTGGGCGGGGGGCAGCGCGTCTGGTCCACCTGTGGCCTGGCCCCTTCTTCCTGCCCAGCCTTGACCCACAAGCCCGGCAGAGTCGCCTCCCCCTCCCGCCCACCTCCGCATGGCATTGCCTGTCGTCTGTGACCGCCACCGGGCGGGCCAGGGCAGGATGGGGTGGGGGGGTCACCTGGGTGGGGTCACCCGGCAGGGGCGAGACCTCTTCACACCACCCAAGCTGTGTGCAGTGTGACCGCACAGGCACCTCCGTCAGCTAATAGACAGTTCGGATTCGGGAGCTGCATCTGTGCCGGCCCTGGCCCTCGGAGGCACCTGGTAGCCAGCCGCCTCTCCCGGACTCGGGCACGCGTAGAAAAGGCAGACTCAGGGGCCTCCAGCTGACTGGGCAAGGACTTCAGGCAGGCCACAGAGACGCACAAGCACCTGCCGCTGCCTGCTCCTGAGAGAGGGCCCTGGGGGGTCTAGAGACAGCAAGCCCGGAGGCACCGAGAGAGGAGCACCGCTCGGCTCAGCGGGGGGGGCCCCCACCCCGCCCTGCAGGGAAGGCTTCCAGCTCCCGGGCTCCTCCAGCCTCATTCATTCCCATGAGTGCCCCCTGCTGGAGCAACACAGCACCCCCCCCCCCCAGCCTGCTGGCTGCCAGCTCCCTCCTCCCTAACTCTCCTCTGAAAGTCCTTTTGGGGAGGAGGGGTGGGGCACTGCTTCCCAAAGTGAAGGGAGAAGAACTAGATGTATTCCGGCACGGGGCCTGCAGCGGCAAGACTGCCTGATTAAGGATGAATTACACTTTCATCAGTGCATAGAGAAAATTGATTCACAAGGCTGTATTGTGATAATCTGGCTCCTAAAGAAAAGGGGGTGGCGTCGGGGGGTGGGGGTGGGCAGGACACAGCGCCACTTGGGCGATCAGTGACAGACAGCGAGAAGAAGCTCTACAATTAAGCTGGGAGAACAAAACTAATCAGGGAGCCGGGAGTCCTCCAACTAGTCTCTGGGGGCCTTGCCTCAATCCATTCATCCCTGTGGGGTGAGAGAAAGGCGGCGGGGGTGCGGGGGAGAGTCTTATTTCAGACAAGGAGACCCACAAGGCTGAACCTCTTTCAGACACTAACCTAAGAACTCCAGCGGCTGAGAGCCTGCTC